TGAGGAACACTGCACAGGTTGTAAATTCTCCCTGGCAAAAAAAAAGTCAGATAAAACTAAGGAAAAGTTGAATGCGAAGATGCATTAAGTTACTTTTTGACTGATGTTCTCCTGTTCTGCAGAATTCCACAAGACTATGTTCCATAGAAGAATATGAACCATGCTAAAGCCATGCATGCTCAGAGAGCTACATAGTTTATTTTAGAAACTAGTATTATCATGTTCTAGTTTCAGGACTTCATGATCTCAATCCTTGATACCAACCCGTTCAATACAAGGTTGAATTCTTCTATGAGTTTCAAAGCCTGCACATAAGAGAAGCTCTTAACAAATCAGCTTTGCAAAGGGTCTACGCTTCTGTATTAGGACTCTGGCATGAGCCAAGACACAAACACTTCATCCTCAAACATCAATGACACCTCTGAAATGTCACTTGAAATAGCTTTTTTGGGAGCCCAGTAGTGCTCATGCTGTAGCAAGCTGTAGAACTACAGCCTCCAGCACTACCAGTGTCAGGCCCTGACTGGACATGATTCCACATGTTCTGCAGAATCTACCCTCTTTACAGCCAAGAACTAGGTAGGTTGTAGGCTTTTAACAGCCATAATTCTGGTTAGGAGACACAGTAATATTTAATGGCATCCTAGATACCATGCCAGAATAAAACTGCCAGTACTTAAGTGCTGAATACCTGTAGCACCAAAGTCTGAGGGTATGCTTCCTCAGGAGTAATGCTGATCACTTTACCTCACCATGGTGAATCTCCACCAGAAAAAAAAAATAAAAAAAAATCAAAACTTACTTTATAGGGAAAAAGTACCTTTCCTAGATTATCAGGGCCCAGACCCACATTCCACCAAACCCAACAACAAAGTCCTGTGACCCACCAATTCTGCAAGCACTTCAGAATTTGTAGTCCTCTTCATCACAAACCAAACCAAACCAAACCAAACCAAACCAAACCAAACCAAACCAAACCAGAACACACACAACCATAAAGAGATTTTTATCCTCCTCTGCTGCATCACAGGCAACTGCAAAACCTTCTCTTCCAAGAAAAAAATCCTTTAATACTCCCCACCTGTAGAAAGACAACCTCCCACCTTCAGCTGGGATCAATTTTGAATTAGCCAGGTGAGAATGATTTGGGGGTTTGTACAGCATATTACAAGTTTCCTAAGAAAAGTAAGGGATGCATGTTTCTTCCCATTCTTTTCCCAAGAGGAAAAAAACAATACATTTGCATATGAGATTGTACTTCAAATTGTAAATAAATATTGTTGTATGTGGAAGACTTTTAAAGTTTATCAGCAGCCTCCATACAGAGTTGGGCCTTAAGGGCTCGTGTGCTCTTGCAAACTTCACATTGTAGAGTTTCACCCTAGAAAATGAGTACAGTTCTGTTATGACTTTTAGTAAGAAAAAGCTGATTATTTCAGTGATTCGTTAAGGCATATTTTAGTGGGGGAAGTAAAAAAAAACACAAAAAAACCACAGGCATTTTTTAAAAATATGGGTCTTATATTACAAAATACTGGATAACTATGACGCTTGTTATCCAATATATGAATATATTTTCATACATTGGATTCCTACTCAAATCCAACATATGAAAATCAACATTAACAACCTAATTAATTTTTGAAAAATTAGATTTCACAAACATAATACAGTATTCAGTTTATTTTCAGAAGAAAGCTTGCTTATCTCTTTTGGATGGGTAGTGCATTACAATATAACAGCCTCTGGATAGGTTGCTGTCTCTAGAATCCACAGCAACAGCTTAGACAGAAGCCATAGGCCAGGAAGAAATACTATTTACAGCACAAGGATATCCATTTTCACTAACTGTTTATAACAAGAGGAGTAGTTTCAAGGGGAGAGAACAAGAGAAACATACTTCAGAATGCTCACCAGCATCAGTAGTTATGACACTCATACAGGCTGTGAAGATCTTGCATTTAGTCTCTGTACAGAAACCTGTGCAAAATGGAGCTAAACCCGTGTTGCTTACAAGGCTCACAGGCTCTTCTGTAGGTAAAAAAAAAAGCCATTCCAACCTTGGCTAAGGATCTGATGGTGTTAAGATTGTGACTGTACTCGGAGTACTCCTGCAGGATTTGGTTTTAGTAATAAGTTAGAAAGTCACAGATGAACAGATTTTGCCTTTGCCTATGTTAGGAGACATGCTTCAAACCCCAGCAGTCCCTTGGTCTGGCAGAAGGTACAGCGGTCAGACTTAGCACTTCCATTGTTGTGAATTGGCTAAGCAATATCACTGAGTGTCACAAACTTATGAAGAAGTTCCAGAGTAAATGTTTATTGGTTTACAAGCATTGTTGTTAACACTTTGGATAGAGAGAATGGGTGAAATACACCAGTTTTACCAGAAAATTTCCAACATTTTAGAGATCAAGCACTATATAAATGCTTACATCTTAATTAGAATTATTGTTTGTTTGCTTTTCTAGGGTAAAACACTGGATTTTTGTTAGAAATTCTGCAAGAGTGATACTACCAGTAAAGATGTCATACTTAATGAAAGGAGTTAAATATTGCAGTCCTGTGAATCAGATGCACAAAGTAACAGGAACTCTGTTAAAGAACATACTGGGCATCACTGAACAACAGTTCAAAATTTCACGTGCAGCTTCTCAGCTTAGTTCTGAAAAGGCAAACAGTTATAATTATGTCATTGTTGGAGCTGGATCAGCAGGGTGTGTATTAGCCAACAGGCTGACAGAAGACCCTCTCAGTACTGTACTACTTTTGGAAGCAGGCCCTAAAGATACTCTTCTAGGTAGTAAAAGACTGATGTGGAAGATTCATATGCCTGCTGCATTAACATACAACCTCTGTGATGAGAAATATAACTGGTATTACCACACAACGTCACAAAAGCATCTGGATAATCGAATTCTGTACTGGCCCCGTGGGAGAGTGTGGGGTGGCTCTTCTTCTCTCAACGCAATGGTATACATTCGTGGGCATGCAGAAGATTATAATCGATGGAGCAGGGAAGGGGCTATAGGATGGGACTATGAGCACTGCTTGCCCTATTTTAAAAAGGCACAGACACATGAACTGGGGCCAGATCAGTACAGAGGTGGAAATGGACCCCTGTATGTGTCAAGGGGGAAAACAAACCATCCTCTTCATCATGCATTCCTGGAGGCAACCCAGCAAGCTGGGTATCCCTTCACAGACGATATGAATGGCTATCAGCAAGAAGGATTTGGCTGGATGGACATGACTGTGCACCAAGGTAAATCATAAAGGGGTCCTTAATTGGTGTTTCTGACCCACCAGTGGTACTTCAGAAAGCATTTTGGAGTATGGACATAAGCTGCACTGAACAGCTATGGCACTCTATATTTACACCACGTTCGTTTCACAGCAGCTTGCTATTAGTCTAGTGTGTATTTCACTGAAAATTGCACTGCCATGCAAGTCTTGATTCATAGTTAAGTTTGGGAAGGAGACTAGGTTTTCAGAATTTTTGATGAATACCAAACATGACTGTTTTGTTGTTCAATGTAAATATATTACAATGATATTGTAGGTCAAAGATGGAGCACAGCTAGTGCTTACCTTCGCCCCGCCATATCACGCCCAAACCTGTCAGTTGCAGAGAAGACACTTGTAACAAAAATCTTGTTTCAAGGAACAAAATCCACTGGTGTCGAATATGTGAAAAACGGGCAAAGGAAAAAGGTAAGAGATTTTTATTTTCCAGTATGAAATGTACGAGTCAAAGCAAAATCAATTTTTTAAAAACAACATTTTATTAGAAATGGCAGTTTAATATGCAAAATGTCTGCTGCTCAGACGTTATATTTTCTTTTCCAGTACAACAGTAGGTGATACTTCAGCTGAATCAATTTAGAGATAACATCTCCATTATATTTCCATCTCTTGGTACTGATGGAGCAAGTCATAACTTGATGTTACACAAGAGTATTGTGTAATGTTTCTGTTTGGAACCTGTGATGCAATCATGCACTGCCTCAGTGTATTGAATAGGGTGCTAAAATGCTGATGTTTCTGAAAAACAATTCTGAAAATGCTGTTCTGGCATAAGAAAATCTGTAAAAGCTAGATAATGAAATCTGGATGACTCAAGGGTAAGCAATGAGTCGTTCACTTTATTTTGCCATTATGTATTGAGTTTTGGGATAGTAATGATGAAACACAATGATGAAATATGCCTTATGGTTGTTTGTGGAATGAACATTTTTCAGTCTCAGTCCAACTTCCACTGAACATCAGGTCATATGGAAGGAAGCTTGAATTGCCATTACAACTTACCTCTGTGGATAAACAGTTCATTTTATGCTGCTTTCAATCCATTGATTTTTATAAGACCTAAAAAGTTCCCATTTCCCTTAACACTTTACTATTACTGTTGATTATGGAGTACATAACTAAGAAATTGCCTAAGAGGGACTTGTATGTTAATAAGATATTTAGTCATAAACAATTATAAAACAATTAAAAAGGGTAATAGTAATATCCTAAAGAGAGGAGAGTACAAATTTTGATGGTTTGAGTTCAGCAAGGCTTACAAGACTCAACAGACAAGTGTTCTGTGACTGAACACCTTCTAAAAGTTAAAATGCAATTTAAATAAACTGTTCTTTCATTTTCTAATGCACAGAACAAATCTGTTCTTTTCTAAGTGGATTATAATGATACTAATTTTGACAATGTAAAACAAAAGTTGCAGAAAATTTAATTATTTTCATGAGCTATTAAATGTCTATGAAAACAGTGTCTCTCCTTGCTGTTGCTGTGCCAGTATCAAGCTGAATTTTGTTGGAGAAAGTCTTGGAAAGCTGATTATATGTGATCAAAGACCTTCTGAATACTGGATGACTTTAACCACAAAATTCTTTAATTGCTATGAATTTTCATACATATTAATACATGTATGAATTATACACAGTGAATAATATATATTTAGAGTACACCTTCAAAGGATTTTCCTCACCCCCAACATGAAACTTGCAGGGCTTGTCTACTTTTAGTTTCCGGAAAAATTTATACCTCTGAGGATGGAAGATCTAATAATTTTATTAATAACACCATGATGAAACACTTGATTATATTGAAGTGGTTTTGTTTTTACAGTCTATTTTAGGTAGGATCTCTGTTACATCAGTCATCAATGGAAGTTAAAAAAGTTCATTAAAACCAGATTCGAGCACAATTCAAGCACTGTTCATCAAGCCAGTGACTTAGTTGTTACTTCACACTGAGAGCTCCCAGAACTCTCGTAACCCTCCTGAAAAATTAGGGAAGGTAGGCTGAACATTCCTGGAGTTTCTGAGTTCAGATTCAAGCAGAAAAGTGTATTTAAAGGGGAAAAATGTTTTAATGTATCATAGACTAAGTAATGCATACAAAAATGTTTCAAAGTCAGTTTTTCCTCTTTGCATGTTAGCTTTAAGCACAATGAAAGACTATGGATTCCAATGAGGAATAGGAATAACCACAGTGCTGACTTCGCAGTAAGTGTAGACCCAACGAGCATCATTTGAACACTCCCTGGAACAAACTGGTACCAGTTCTTTGTGTACCTAAGAAAATAAAAATGAGTTATATTTGTACAATATGCAAAATACATATCTAGGTATGGATTCCGTATTTACTGATATGCCATGTTATTACTTTTAACATACTAATGATTGCCCAGAGCAAAACAATAACAAACAAAAAACATCAGCACTGGCTATCTGTCAGCAATATTAGGTCAACAGTGTGGAAAAAAATTACCAAAATTCATCTTCTTACTATATTTTGATCTTATTACTTAGCAACAGTCTCATTCACCATCATTTCGTATAGCTGAGGTGTCATTCAAAAAGGACAGGATTACTACAAGTTAATATGCACTCCATGCTAATCTGTTAACACTTCACCATCCTCCAGGAAAAAAATAGCACTTTTTAATGTTGGTTTGGAAGCCAAAATGTCTCATCTAAAATAAAACCAAGGAGCTACTCATGATAGCACCGTACATTCTGTGAAATTAGAGAATGAAAATGAGCAACACCAGATACATTTCCTTGAACCTTGTGGGTTTTGCTTGCTAACGAGAAGTTCGGGGCATAATTTTGTACCTCATCTATTTTTTCCTCACTGTGGCCACACTGATGTATTAGAATTAACAGATACATGTTATGGCATTATTTTTGCAAATGTGTGTTGCTTTTAAACACCGGATTAGCTTAGGTATTATTAGAATTTGCATAAAATATAAATGTTGCTTACTTTTTGTTTCTTCTGTGGTGCAGTTATTCTTTCTTAAGGACAAGTGAATCTCAAATCTTTTTTTCTAATGTGCAACTGTTTCTATTTAGAAACTTGGGGTGGATATAAAGGATATCTTACATTTCAATAGGCAACATACGTGTAATGAGGGAGGATGGAGTACATCCAACATGTGTGTGCTCATGAGCCATCTCATTAAAATAGAAGGGGATAGTTTAAACAAGGTTATGTTCACCCACATTATCCTCTTTCAAAGAGCAGAGGGAAAAGCAGGTGGGTACCAGTATTTTCTTACTTCATGCAGTTTTCCCTTCTAACAGTGAAAAGCACTAAGGGGTATAGTTCTGATCCTAAATGTAAAAGATGTGGCAACAGGGAAGAGATAGCAAACCAGAATTATATATGTGCCTGCAGTCAGAGTTCTCCCAGTAGTGCTTTAGTGGTTGAGTGGTTGAGTGTTGAGGACTACAGCCGACAGATTACAAAGCTATGAAACCAAGCATTAGTCTTCGCTGAATTAAGAAAATAAGCTCTTCATAATTTCTGAGCTAGCATGTCTCTGAATCAAAAGTCTTTCTTAAGAGTTTCAGTTTTAATTTACAAATCGTTACTGAAACTGGAAGAGATGCTTAGCTGACTGATCCGAGTGCCATAGGCTTTTTTTTCCTGGCAAGCAGCAGAGCAGTTTACTGGCAGCCATAGTACTGGCTGAGCTGAATGCCTGTGTGCCATACATACAGTTTGAAGGGAATATAGAAATGATCAAAGTGAAAGCTTGATCATTTCTCCCTGCAGAAACTCCTGGCAGGATAGGAATACATTTAAAATGAGAAGAATCTGAGGGAAGGGTGTTTAATCTGGATCAGAATAGCATATTTGAAGCTCTTGACATGTTGCTTGCATTCAGATCAGGCTTAATAATGTTAGGACTTTTGTGCTCATTTCATTTTAGGCTTTTGCCAGTAAAGAAGTTATTTTAAGTGGAGGCGCCATAAATTCTCCACAGCTGCTTATGTTGTCTGGGATTGGCAATGCAGATGATCTAAAAAAACTGGGGATCCCTGTTGTTTGTCACCTTCCTGGTAATTTTATTTCTTGTAATCTTACATCTTCCTATGGACACAATTCAAAGACCATTAAATGAAATGAATCCATGAAATTAAGTTGTCTCTATATCAGGCTGTGTAGACTGAAAAGTAAGTAAGTGTTACAAATCAGTGGAAACATGCATTGATTTTAGAACGGAGCAAGAAACTCCTACACTTTCTACAATACCTTTGATAGTGAAAAATGCCTTTCTGAAAAATGTCACTGAGTACTTCTAAAATGAAGCAGAATACTTATAATTTAGAATTTCAAATTAGTTTTGATCCACAACAGATTGTATAAACTCCCACTGTCATATATATTCAAAGATAGAAGGAATAACATGAAATTTTTCTTAAAACTAGAAAAACATGTACTGTATTTAGAAGTCATCTGGCAATTTTAGAACAAGTGATACGTCTGCCATTTAACTTTCTATTTTCATTCTAGTTGTGCTATGTTTATGTAAAATCTTATTCTGACATGAGCAAAAGGCTGATATAGTTTTAGTCACCACTGCCCTTTTAAGAGGTTAGTTTAGTTCCCATTTATGCTGTTTTCTGGTTGCAAATGCTATGTATAATTGTTCTGTGTGAAATAACTTCCCCCCTCCCTTCCTCCTTTCTTCTCCCTCCTCCCCAGGAGTAGGCCAGAACCTTCAAGATCATTTAGAAGTGTACATCCAGCAAAAGTGCACCAAACCTATTACACTATACAACGCACAAAAGCCAGTTAATATGGTGAGAATTGGTCTAGAATGGCTTTGGAAGTTTACAGGTATGAAACAAAGTGTGCAATCATTCTACCATTGATTGATTTAGAATTATTACAGCCTTATATCCATGAATTCCAAAGTCTGGTAGCCTTCATATATACTTTTTTTATGTTCTGGGAAATAACTAGAGCTTGCAAATGGACTTAAACTATTTCTTTCTTTCTAAATCAGAATATTTCAAAATAGTTATCGTGTCTGAATTATGGTGTTAGTATTTCACAACTTATATTGGGTATGTATGGCTTTTTACCATGCAAGTAAATAATGAGTGCTAATTTACAGCTGTAAATGGATATGAGAATAACATAATATGAGGTGCATTGTAGGCTCTTCATCTTTCCCTTTCAGGGCAGGTGCTATGGATGGCTCTGCCTGTTACCTGTGACTGATGAGATAACTACCTTGCATGTCATAGAGCATGCAATGCAGTAGTGTCAGGATGCTGCAGTCTTCACATCTGTTAGGATCCTGGGACCAAACCTGCCTCTGGAGTTAGACCCTAGGCCTGCCAGTTACAGTGAGATAGCTGTAATATCCCACTCTCAAATCAGTGGAATTTCCAAAGTTTTGCATATTTACATGTATCCAGTGATTAAGAAGCAGATGAAAGTGATGCATGTTGCTTAAATTACAAACTGTTCAAAATGGATTTGTGTTCCTTGCAATTGCCACGGTATATACAAATTATTCATAGTAGTGAAACCAAGGGTTAAGAAGTGGATTTCTTGCTTTTCTGAGGTATTTTAATGGCATATTCTCTCTCATTTACACTCTGTAGGTGAGGGAGCGACTGCCCACTTAGAATCTGGTGGGTTTATCCGAAGTGAACCAGGGGTTCCTCACCCTGACATTCAGTTCCACTTTCTCCCTTCTCAGGTGATTGATCATGGCCGGGTTGCTTCCACAATGGAAGCTTACCAGGTGAGTTGTTAAAGAACATATTCCAGTAATATTCTGTAGCTATTATCAAGAAGGCTCATGCTTTATTACAAATATTGATAATTTGGCTATATCACAAAGAATATTTTGTTCAGTATAACACAAAAGAGCTGGCTTAACCTCCAACATGGGGGAAAAAACCACGAGCTTGTTATTTGATATTGCTATCAAAATTTTTACTTTTTATCTCTGGGAAGGTAGTCAAGTATTGAACTGCTGTTTAAGTATTTGCGGTAGGGAAGCATCATAGTGCTGTTGTTTAGGACAGCTTTGTGCTAGATGCTGTACAAAAACTAAAATGAGGTGTTCCCTATTCCACTGCACTTTAGACAGGGGTTTAAGTGAGAATGTATGAGGCCACTCACATATACATTGGTACAAACCCAAGACCCATTTTAGACTATGATCTTGATCCAAAAGTGTGTGCTAATGCTGGGGAACTGATCCTGAATATATCTTTTACTTCTTGCTAATCTCTTCAGTGATGATAGGGCTGCTTGCTGATTGTATTAGAATGCTCTGCTATTGCTAAATGGGAATGGGTGTATTTCAAATTAAAAGAACAGCTGTCAGTATGTAAGACAGGTATATTCCCTTCCCTTATGCAATATAATATTTACTGCAAATTTATATAAAATGGAAAAATGTTTAATGGCATTTTCCGTTAGCTCCCTTTAATGTTTACATTTGATTAATTTGTAAAGACTGTCTAAATCGAAAAAACAAACTTCATACTGAATTTGGAAATATGTCTGGTGGGATTGTGTCTTAAGTGTAGTGTGGGTGTTGCAGGTCCATGTGGGACCCATGAGGAGCATGAGTGTGGGCTGGCTAAAGCTGAAGAGCACAGACCCAAATGACCATCCAATCATTGAGCCTAACTACATGTCAACAGGTAAACACAGCCTCTCTTTGCTCTGATGTCAACTTCCTGCCAGTTTCAGTAGTAGATTTCCATATCTGCTCAACACCAGAAGTGCTGGTTGGTGCATTGTTATTTATTTCTCATAAAAGGCAGCTCCTATTAAAAGAGGCCATTGTGCAAAGCACTGTATAAACCAAAAAGAATTACCTGTTGGGGATGCAGTCAGGGTTCTTAGTGTTTGCTGCATCATACTATTCATTTCATCCCCTCCTCTGCTTGTGAAAGAATAGATCTCACTTGCTTTATGCTGAGACTAGTGTCTCAGAGGGTAGAGTGAAATAAACAGCAATTCTTTGTAACTCATCTATTTCCTTTTGGGTCTGTGCAATGTAAGCGACAGTTTTGTTCACAATGAATATAAATATCTGTGACTTCAAAAAACATCCTACTTTATTATGGCTTTCAGCAGTGAGAGACTTTCCCTCCAGCCTTTTCTCTTTGATGCTATTTTTTTCTGTTATGCACTCTGTATGTATTACTAAATTAAAGGTGTACTTACAGTTTTCTTATTTTCTCTCCATACAGAAAGAGATATTTGGGAATTCCGCCAGTGTGTCAAGTTGACCAGAGAGATCTTTGCACAGAAAGCTTTTGAAAAATTTCGGGGTCCTGAAATTCAGCCAGGAAACCATGTTCAGTCTGACAAAGAAATAGATGCTTTCATAAGGCAGAAGGCAGATAGTGCTTATCATCCTTCCTGCACCTGTAAAATGGGTCAGCTTTCAGACAGCACTGCTGTAGTTGATCCCCAAACAAAAGTAATTGGTGTTGAAAACTTGAGAGTCGTAGATGCTTCAATAATGCCTAGTGTTGTAACTGGAAATTTGAATGCCCCAACTATTATGATAGCAGAGAAAGCTGCAGATATAATTAAGGGCCTCCCATCACTTCAGGAGAAAAATGTTCCTGTATATAAGCCCATGACCTTGGAAACACAGAGATAAACAAATGTTCTCATCCCCTAGATCTTTTGCTACTTAAGCTTTCACCAGCATGTTGGTTTCTCATACTGAACATACCAACAACATAAATACCATGCAAAACAATGTATCCTATTAAAATAACTATTAGTTTGAACCGTTCTCTAGCTATTCTTTTTTTCTGATCAAGTGGCTTAAGCAGCTTATTTTATTTAACAGTGATGGGGCATCCACAACTTCTCTGGGCAACCTGTGCCAGTGCCTCACCACCCTCACAGTAAAGAACTTCTTTCTAATGTCTAATCTAAATCTCCCCTCTGTCAGTTTAAAGCCATTCCCCCTAGTCCTGTCACTACATTTCCTTTTAAAAAGTCCCTCTCCAGCCTTCTTGTAGGCGCCTTTTAGGTACCGGAAAGCTGCTCTAAGGTCTTCTGGAGTCTCTCTTCTCAGTGCTGAACAAACCCAGCTCTCTCAGCTTGCCTTCATAGGAGAAGTGCTCCAGCCCTCAGAGCATTTTTGTGGCCTCCTCTGGACCCTTTGTGGTACAATTAAAATCTTTTGTTGAAGAGAAGCTATTTCTAAATGATGAGACAGTTGCACACATAAACCAAAACCACTGTGCAGTTTCATGAGGAACAGAAGAGATTAATGTGTGCTATTATAGAGTGCCTTGTTATTTAAAGGAAGGACTTTAACTGCTGTGAGAGTATTACCCAGAATAACAGCTAGTCAGTAATGCCCACATCCTGCAAAGAAAGGTTAAGTAAGTATTTATGCAATTTCATATTCACAGGCCAAACCAGTTCATATCAGAATTAACAGGAGAGAGAGGAACCTGCATGTGTTAAGAATTTGTCAAATGTGGGTTTTTTTTTTATGAAGGAATGTACAGTTTACACATCCTCACTGAAAATCATACTTCACCAAACCGAGGAGTCTGAATTGTATAGTATTCAGACAGAAGACACATATAAGTTATCAGAAAGTTACTTTCCTGAAAAATGTAGAACAGGACCTGATATTTATATTTTTGTTATATATACAGAATTTGTATATTATCTTTGTTATATTATCTTCAGATGCATAAAGCAAGATACAAGATCTTTCATGGCTGTTTTCTATATCAATCTAACTTCCAGGCACTGATTTAAAAAAACCTAACCAAACAAATGCAAACAACTGAAGAAACTGAGCTCCTCGAATGAAACTGAATCCATTGAATTGCTTGGATTTATTAAGTATTCTAAAACAATCTGTGACTAAGCAGCTGCCAGATTTTAAAAGTAAAAGCTTCTGTAGCCTAAGATTGCTCAGGACTTGAGCTAAACAGAATAAACTCTATTTTTTTTTTCCCCAGGGAAAAACAATTGAATTGTACAACGTTTGAGCAGATTGTAAAAAAAGCTTGCTGACTCAGGTGTTGGCTAGAAGGACAACTGCAGATGTTTAAGGCAGATACTTCCACCTGGTGCTGCTTGCTGTAAGGCAGTGGTTGGAAGCCCTGCTGCTAACTGAGGGAAAGGACTTAATTATTAGAGCATCTGCATAAAGACAAACAAAATTAGTGAGGCTGGAAGACGATAGCAGTGAACTGTGCTCCAAAAGAAAACAGGTAAAACCTTTCTACGTGATGCATTCTTTTGGAATGAGGGGAAGAGCAAGAATATTTTAAGTTATAGGTGATTGAATAACTGTTAATGAGACAGTTCATCTCACACACCTGTGCTGTAATGAGACAATTCATTTCGGACAGCTGTGCATTTGAAGAAGGTGTGTACTGTGAATGGTGTAGCTGTTTATGGCAAATAGTTTTTATTCAGCACCTGTGTTTCTGAGATTTTCACTTAAAGGTATTCAGTAGGTATCTTAGTGTCTTTTTAATACGAAGTATTAGGATACTCAGAGTAACATACACTGGTGAGACTTACCACAGTCCTGTGCAGCTGAGAGGGGATGCAATTTGGAAAGACGGAATACTGAAGTTCCTGCATTTGCAGATGTACAACTTGAATTTCCATTCTAGGCATGCAGGATGGTAATTGTTACTATGCAAATGCAGAAAATTAACTAGCCACTGTCTTGCATATCTCTGAACATGCACAGAGCTACCTTCTGCCACTATGACAAGCTATAAAAAGATAAGGACATAGAAAGGTTAGATATACACCCCAGACTGTATGTGTGTTTGTGTTCAGGTACACATTGCCCCATCGTGCAGTCAGATAATCACACATTTCTTCTGAAACATCACCTTCTTTTCTTGGAGTTCTAAACATACACAGACACCATGCAGATTCCTCCCCTTCTAAACACTTGAGTATTTCCATTGCTGTGAACTGCAGTTGCTTTATTAATTTAGGCCTCACTGCTATAGAATGTTGAGGCTTCACATGACATTCCTTTGATGCAGTGCTAAAGAAACAGCTCGTGTATTTGAAAGCTTTGTTGACCCGGGGAAGTCTTCAGGTAGCATCAAGCTACCATTAGGTTCTCCTGCATTGTACCTGGTCGCTGATGGTGAATTCCTGTAGCAAAGTCTGCTAAGGGATACTTAGAACAGGTACAAGATATTCTAATATGCTCTGTGGAGCACTGGCACTCTGCTAGATAAAATTAACCATCTTTTACACCATACTGGACTGCAGAACACAGGCCCATAATTCCAGAGTTTTACTTATTTAACAAAATAATACAGTGCGCAATTGAATATTATTCCCAGGTCTACCCAGATATTTTTCATGTAAATGCAGAGATGATACTATATAATGTATTCAAAACCAGTTAACTGTAAAAGCTGTTTGATGTAAGAATTTGGAAGTTACTAGACCTGCCAGCATGGCTTGAACCAGCAACGGTACTGTGAGTGAGCACACCAGCATTTCCATGGTAATAGCTTGCTGCAGATGCTTCAGACACAGCTGTAGGTCTCTGGCTGAAGACAATGAGATTAAGAAAGGAAAATGACCAAAGTGGTTTTCTTTTTACACATATTTCTATTCAAGGTGCTTTTAAAAAGCAGTAGAAAATAGCAGCATTTATAAAACTGCATTACATTTAATTCATGTAATGCCACTCAAGGTTTTGTACACCAGAACTTTTGACGTTTCTGCAGCTTAAGATCCTTTCCAAGTGTCTTATTTCAATTAGGCTGCAACCAAAAGAGGCAGCTACATAAACACTGCAGAATTGGAAAGGGGGCTTGGAACATGCATTTTCTGTAAAATAAACACACAAAACATATTTTGAGGACTAGTAAAAGCATTTAAGCATTTTTAAAAATTACAGTTAAAATGAAAAGTTACTGCAGAGAGAACTCAAGTGTATGTTATTACAGTATTACAGTTTTTAGTCTCTATTCTTCTGTCATCCAAGCTCTAAAAATGAGACACTGTTCAAACAGGAATATATTTTACATATTCACTTGTTCAGTGAATTTGCTTCATTGTAAAAGACTTAGCAATGTTTAATTCTTTACTAATGTTTTCTGTCATTGTATACATACATCAACAAATCTGAAAACTCATGAAATATGCTTCAAATGTTGAGATAACATCTAGTTTTTGTATTGAGTAATTATGATGATTGGCAGTATTTTAAGGATGCCAATTAACATGTAATTGTGAGTACATTGATTACTTTTTTCCATATACTTCGTTAATAAAATTGAACAGGTATTCTATGTATCCATATATATATGTTTTCCTTCAAACCTTAACTATACAGAATATGGTTTGTAACTTTGTTTCCTTTATTATTTTGCGCTTTTAAGGACTGTTTGCTCATAAACTAGCACATCTGCCCTAAAGAGACTCTCATCAGACTACTGAAAGCTGAGGACTAACCATACTGGCAAGAAAATACAGTGAAGTCAGCATAATGTTTTCTGTCTCATCAGAAAAATGATTAACTGTGACTCAGCTCCGTTTGCCAAATTTGATGTGCTATCAGAAGTTCACACAGTTAAGTAACCTGGTCTGGGATTTTTTTTCCTCCTCATTTTTTAGTGTTCAATTTCAGTTGCCTTAGAAGACGGTTTTCAGAAGTGGGTACACCACAGTAGGTGGAAGTGAAAACTACTCATTTCAGAGTGACAGCAGATCCAGAAGGCTCTATTTTGGTCTCCTAAAGTTTGTTACTGTAAGGTGGGAAAGTGTAACAGAGTGACTTAACTACTGCATAACCTACCCAAGTGTCTGCTGGCAGACAGCATGAAAGATTTGTTTTGACATTTTAGGGGATTTTGGTCAGATTTTCCTCACTGTTTCCAAAGATCTGTAACTAGGGAAATAATAATCTCCTAGATAGCAGGACAGTAATAATACCCTTTTTCATAGGAACGCTATAATCACTTCGTATCTGTGTGGTTAACAGCAATCATTCATAAAAGACTGGCACACTATGATAATGTAGACTGATGACTATATCCCACACATTCTCTTCCGTTCTCCAAACAGTAAAAAGAGAATTTTACCTTTTGAGCTTCTTGGTGAAAAACTGTTAGTAAAAGGAGTCCCAAGTATAATAAAATTATTACACAGTTTTATTTTGAAGAACATTTTGCATTTGTTTTAATACAAAATGATGTAGGTCAAGAAATAATTTACAAACCTTTAAGTTCTTATCCTGGCATTTGAAATAAGAATGATTTCAGAGGAAGTCTGTAAGCTATTCATAGGAAACTGTCATTATGTACAAAATGTTTATTGACATGTTTTAAACATCACATTTGTAAAAATGTGAACTGGATTGCTATCTAGCATATGATCTACAGGTAAAACCTGATAAGGTAACTTGTTAGAACAAGTCTTTGTTATCCAGTGCTAACAAAATAGACAGTAGCTTTCAGTGTTTTTTGATTTTCCTCCAAGGACATTTCAGCCTCAAAGTCATTTCAGGGTGGTACTGCATTGTGAACAATATCTAAGCCCTCTCTTGATTGCATAAAAATAAATCTTTGAAATAGGACACATAGAACAACAGAAAGGTAGAGGCAATAGTGTACTACTTATATCAAAGTTTTTGGTTCTGTGAAGAATCATTTTATCATTTCTTCTCTTTCCAAGCAAAGTACTATTGAAGTAAAGCATTTTCATTTACCTGTGAAATAAATTTCTGCCCAAGATGCTTCCTGTCAAAGTAGGGTATGTGAATAACATACTATGTCAAAACAAATTGTCTCAAGACCAGTAATATCCTGGCATGAACTTGCCAGTTTTTTTAGGACTTTAATACTTATTTTTACCACAGAATTAATAATAAAATAAAATTAGATCTTGGTTTTCAATCAAAATGTTAAAATAACTTAAATATTTTACCTTTCCAAGTATAGTATTGTAAATAGTCAACTGTGCATCCCTTATGCAAAGAGATTTATTTGACTCAATTAGGTAATTGAAAAAAAAAATAAAAATTCTCTTCTGTTGCCAAGTTCAAACTTGACACTTTATCCCAAAAAGAGATTTACACTGAGAGAGGTGGCTCTATTTAAATATTTATGCTATAGATCTATATATTCCAAGTAAAAATACTTCTATCTAGAATTCTGTGGAGAGTTACAATAATTAGGGTCCATAAATATTGCTGCGGTTCAATTACGGTACAATAATTACAAAATATAGAACATCTCTTTACAAATACAAATCATTGTATATTACAATTCATTTACAATAATTTCTACTATATAATTTTTAGCAAACTATCTTATCTAATTCTATTATAACCTGGTTGCAAGTGCATTAGTAAGAATGCATTTATTCCAGTATATTTTGCCCTTAACATGATAGTCATAAAACAGACTATCTGAATGATATTTTCCTATGTAAACTGGTGTTACATATGACAGATTACTCTTTATATAACTTCTTTTTCCAACAATCTCTAACAAGTAGAGCATGACAAACTGTATTTTAGAAGAGCATTAAGAAAAGAAATCTGGAGGCAAGTTTGAAAACAACGTTAGAATGGATATGCAATGGGTAGCTGATATGCTATTGACTACTGAGGTAATGACATTATTGGTTGTCATCACTCATCTCTTGTTGCTATTTCCCACACAATTTTGTGCCAGACTTACACAGACATTTTCATTGACAAAACCCTGCTCTACTAGGAAGGACAGCAGCACAAGGTTGAAAGACAGGTGAGATATTACACCTCAGAATCCCACTCTAGCCCTCAAAAAACCTGATTGTCACAATCTGCTTGGTTTCAAAATAACCTCATTCCTACAGAGGAACTGAAGATTTTGTGGGAGGACATGATGTACTGCAGCTCTGATCACATTTCGGCAACCTGGAGATAATAAATTTATTGGTTATGGCTTCCTTGAGGTGTGACATCACTTGTACAACTCTTGATTGGTTATTTACTCCAGCTAGTGCCTAGCATCTTTAAACTATGAGGCACTTTTTCTGTTATTAGAATCATTTTCCTTGCTAAATACTATAAGCTTGTAATGCATATCATTTCATCAGCTAAGTCTTCTTCATATCGTCCCGTTTCTGGTTCTTCATCACTGTAGCCAGGACCAAAATCTTGAAGTTCATAATCTTGTCTGCTTAAAATGGGAAACATATCCCCATTGGTCCCATTGCTAATATTTCCATTGAGAAGATTACTTGCTGCACTTTCCATCTCATCAATAGTCATATCACATGCATCAGCAATTTCGTGTTTTGTAGCTGAAACAAAGTTAGGGTCCTTTGCATACCTTCCTAGGCCTTCAGATATAAGTACCTGGCAGATGGAGGGAAGAGAATGAGATACACAGTGGAATTATAGAAGAATAGACAGGTCATTACAACATTTCTCTTTTGTGAAAAATACAAGAAACCCCCCGCTGAATCACTATGGCAACCCACAGCAAAACTTTATGTGTAAGAACAATCAAACGGCTCCAAACCACACTGTATCCATTATGTGATAATGCAACTGATAGTGCAATACATCTGACTTTTTCTTCAGAAATTTGTGAGTAGTCTTTGAGAAACATGCATCATCAGGCTGCTATACTGAAGACAACAGTTAATATACCACAAATGGTGCCATTAGAACAACTACCTGAAACACAGACTTCTAGATACATCTTTGGTACTTTAGAGTACACACAAGAAAGATGATGAATCCTCTTTTGCAAATAAAATGTAACAAAGTGTATTGCTTAGGTCATCACAATGGAAAGGAAGTGATAGATGGAAGCAAGAACAGTAACTATGGCTCAGAAATGCTATATACTGTTTATCTTTAAATCCTTTCTAATACAAAAGGGAATTCTTAACATTCTTTAGTACACCTACAATCAATCCTTGTAGTTGTTATTCACCTCTCTGCATTTACTGCACTGATTTATTCAGATTACTCCAAAACTGGCAATGTATTTTTATCAAAACAACAGAGAGAACAGGCATACACATCATCTCTTCCCTGTCAGCCACTGCAGAAGGACACTTCATAACTGATCCTCATCTAGAAAATTTGAATTTCAAATCTCTTTGAAATCTCTCCAGTGCTCTGATACACTGATGTTAAGATCTGGATTCAGTAGAAATCATTTACTACACATCAACTGTGAATAAGTTCCCCTGTCTCTACCTAAGAACAGTTTTGCGCTTTGAAACTGGAAATACCACATTTCAGAGAGGTAATGTGAACTGAATTACATGCTTTTAAATTTTAACACAAAAACTGAGCAGACAAACAGTCTCAGCTACTTCAGAGGATTCTATGATACTTACCGCTTCTACCAAACTGTCTGCACTCCTCTGTTTGTCGCTATGTTTATGCCTCAAGTCATTAGGTACAGTTAAACTGGCTGGTGTAAATGTTCGGTAGGAAATCTCGGGGTCATCTGTGTACCAAGAGCTCCTGTGCAAGGAAGGCAGGCTACCATTCATATGCTCTGTAGATTCAGCCCTATCAACCTGGATTAGGGGTGTGTAATAGGGAGAACGGTCCCTGTTGGGAGGGGTTGCAGGTGGGGTAGCCCAGGAACGCGTTGAACGACTTGGTGAATGTTTATGAGCTTTGCTGGAATCCAGACCTGCAACAGCCATGACCTGGTAAGGGGAAGAATTTTAGAAGTTAGTGATTTCAAATGCTCGGTCATACTCATTTCAGTAGTTAGTTCAAACCAAGGTAAATAAGAGTCTGTGTTTACCTGCTGTTGCATTAAGTGAAGTGGTAAAGCAGTGCGATGGTGGAAATTGGGAGAGAGTGCTATGTCATCTTGACTACTTTGCCGGCGGAGGCATTCGAAGTTAAAGGAAGATCGCCTATTTGCTACAAGGAAACCATAATTCATTAAGAAAATTGAATACTTTTCCTCAAAGTCTATTATTTCCAGAATTCCAGTGTGAGTTAACCATCACACAAATAAAACCATATCCCCCAGTAAGAAATATGTTGTGCTAACAGAAGCAAGCAGCTGGTTATCAGATAAAAGATAGATTCACATATGAGCAAATGCAGCCCCAGGCAGAAACCGCACGCACAGCCTCACATGACAAAATGGGAAGCAGCTGTTTCACAACGCAAACGCATGTTGTGCAGCAGACTGGTTCAGACACTTAATGTCAGAGTTTTGCTGTAAACTGCTGTGAACAGGTACAAAGCAGACTTTCTTCTTTCTTCCCCATGGTTTAAACGTTTCTTTCTGATGAACCAGACTTCCCAAAGGAAATACCAAATCCCCAGTTCCTTGGAGGCAGTGAGCAATACGGAAAACCATACCCAAGTTGACCCATGTTGTCAGTTCCTGACGTTTATTCCATTACTTATGACAGCAACAAGCCATGGTCTCTGCTGTTATGTATTCATGTAAATGAAAAAAAGGGAAAAGTAGAAATCTAAACTGGATCAAGGTGTTTGGCTGATGTAGAAATGTCTCAGCTGGTCTTGGTGAAAGTGGGTGAAACAATGGGAAGCAGCACATAGGTATCATTCCTCTGTGTTAGCTTCAGCATGAAGAAAGCCTGGACACTGAACAACAGTTGGAACCCAGGTATGTTCTCGCAGTTGCAAGCATCCCACTGGAAAACTGGAAGGAGCCTGGTTGTACAAAGCAGTGATGCAAAATTGTGCTCTCTTGGAACTGACAAAATCTATTCTCAGTATCTGGTGTTTGAACCCCAAGAATTTTGTGAACAGAATTGAAGAGTTAAGAGATTCCTTGTCATTACCACCAGACACTTAGTGCTGGATACTGAGAGCCATTGCATTAAAACAGGCACCTTCAGTTTGCATTCAGTTCAGACCACTGAACGTAAACTTCGTGCCTCTCTCCATTGCCTCTATGGTAAACCCAAATACAGGAATGGAAGCCTTACTCCTGATTATAACAGATGCAAAATGTCCCAATGCCAAAACAAATAAAAAGCATACAAAAAAGTCCCCTCATTCAAAATAAGACACTTCTTTGCACATGCTTCTCCCCAGGAAAGAGTCTTAAAGAACATGGTAATTATTCTCAGTACACTTCTGAAAGTTGCTCAAATGCTGTGTATAATGAGTTTGGTATAAAAACCTCTAGCAAGCTTGACACAGAGCTCTATATACTAACTACAGTACTTAGCCAAGGCACCATATGTTCCATTAACGTGGACTGAATCCAGATGCTAGCAGAAACTGCTCAGTGCAATGTTAAAAGTTTTTGGGTTTTGTTTTTTTGCCTTTTTTTTTTAAATTTTTTCTTTCTTCACATGAGAACACCAAGGCTACCTCCCCAGGCCAAACACTCCATTCACTAGTTACAAATAATAGGTTTGAGCTTCTTTTAAAATCTGTTGAGATACCAAGCCTCTAAAATTTCTCAGCTGTGTTCCTGAACATTGAATAAATGATTATGACAGAAGGCATGACTGTGCTCTCATGACTTTATGCTGGTTTAAGTCAAAGAACTTCCTACATTACCCATACGCAACTTAGATCAGAACTAGGTCCTCTTATCCTAGGCTATCAAATACCCTCTTACCTAGTACATTTATTTAGTCTCTTGTACACAAGATATAAAGTGTAGGCTTCCTCTAAAGAAGTGTCTGCTTAATACTGTCACTAGAACTTTATCAGCAAAGCTAAATGAATCCCAAAGGCTGCAGTCACAGGAAGCTGCCAAACCTTCCCTTGCAACACTTCCAAAGGAAGGCCCCAGAGGATTTTTATGAAAGCATGTTCTCCTGCAATGTATGGAATGAATATACACAGCATCCGTCTAGTTCTTTGGCTTAAAATTCCTCTGCTATCAGAAAAGCTTGTACAAAGAGTCTCCTTTCTCAGCCTCCCCTTTGATGTCTTTTCCTTTTCTGCTACTAGAACTAGCAGCTTTCTGTACATTTCACTGTCATTCATCCCAGTTATTTACCCTCTGTAGTGCAAACCTCACATTCTTTCTGCTTTTTCCATCTGTGCCCCTTAAAATCAGAAAGCCAAACAGCAGAGAGCAGGAGTCATCTTCTAAGGAGATGAGAGCCAAATGTGAGGATGCAGCACTGACAGGATTGCTGAAGAATGTTTCTTTTATTCTATAATGATATGCTTTGCTGTGGCCTTTTACTACAGCTTTCTGTAGCTTTAAATAGTTTGAGACTGTACCTCAGACGTTGTATAATGATCCCACTACACTTTCTCTTAAACACACTTTAAAAATCTATACCTGCATTTTCTTTAGGGTGTCTGAGACAAGAAAGGCCTGTCTTTTTCCTACCCATGGGGTCCTTACAGTCGTACTTCCACAGATAAATGAACTGTGACTGGCTGCCAGCATTAGCAGAACGAAAGAACTCTGTTTTCACTAGAAAGCCAATCTGCCTGATAGCAGCCAAAATGTGGAGACTCTTCTAGAAATGCCCCTGAATTGTCTGGTTTGGTTGGCACTGGTTAGATGGCATCATCCAAAGGCATGTGTAACAGACCCCGCTGTGCCAACCGTGCTATGTGTAAGGTTCTCTTAGGGACGCTACACGGCTGCATGGAGCTGAGAGCTGAGTGTTCTTTCTTGTGCACTAGCAAGAAAGAGGTTTGGGAGAAGGTTTATTTTACACTTCACAACCCAAAGTGCTTCCTCTCTGTTAAGTGTCAGAGCTCAAACACCAAATTCCAAGAGCTTTGAGTCTGTGCATAACTTCATCAGGGGATTATTCCACGTAATCTCTGCAGTATGGCCTGGAACGTATAAAACCAAAACTACAAGATAAGAGGCATGAGAGCTGCTAGAAATGCAGATAAAGCAACATTGTGCTTGAGATAAGAAGAAACCAAGGGAAAGATCCAGGGAATAGAATGCATGAAAATTAAAGAAACAGGTAAAAAAAAAATCAGTTGACAACACTAACTCAATCTATAAACTGAAATATTTTCTTCCCCAGAAGAAACACAGGATATTAAGCATTGTCCTTGAGATGACAGAATGAAGTACGATGGGAACGTGAAATAAGACGCTTAGCTCAGGATAACGCTCTCTTTCCACAGGGGCTTGAGAAACATCAAAAAGCTAAAGGCAATTCAAAAGTTAGAAAAAGAAAAGAAGTACCATTAAGCTCACATTTGGTAAAGATACAAATGGAAGTGATCACAATGTCATTAAGCAGCGTGACTGGTAAGGGACAGGGAAGTGCCAGCAGGTGGGTCACTGGAGGAGAGTGGCTCTGACTGGGGCAGAGCTGCAGACCTGCAGGTGTGACTAACAGGCACACAGGCTAAAACCCCTACCATCAAAGTTTCAAAGCAAACCACTGACACATTCTACTGTGCTCTGTCTTCATTTATTAAATCAAGTTAAAATTGGTAATCAAATCAGTTATTTTTGTATTATTGGAGGAGTGAGGCAAGAGATATTAGAAAGACAGACTTGTAAGCGAGGATCCATAGATACTCTGACCAGCTTCTCTGGATGGATAGATATCTCTGCCACTAGCAACTGTAATCAAGAAATGCCATCTTTGAAATCCAACTTGAAAAGAAGCCTTTTTAAACTGGAATGTGTCTGAATGCATTAAAATAATTCCGCATTTGCAAACAAATTTTTCTTAATGTACTTACGTGTTGGTGTTGGAGGTAGCAGCCGTCTCCTAGGAGATCTTTTTGTGTCATAACAGATCTGTGAATCATCTTCCTCAAAAAACCCATGTGGGTGATGGTAACCTTTTGGTCTCTCAAAATCTGAGTCATGGCAGTGATACCTACAGTGGTAATCATATATATTCCTGCATTTAAAATACAATAAAGAAAATGTTATTTCAGTGAGTTCTTGTAAATTGATCTATTAGATTTCTTCTAGAAGCTTTTCAGTGCTACTCTTTCTCCAGCAAGATAACCAAACACTACATTATATAATTACACGACTCAATTTTAAAATGCAGTTTCTGTATGCAAACTGATTTTGAGCTAAGGAGCATAGACTTTTGTAATAGTATAGTTACAGAGTAAGTTCTCAGGTGAAAGTTTTCTCAGATTATATTTTCTGTGACGTTATTCTTGCCAGTACAGGATAAAATGTAGGGCCTCAGGGGTACATTGCTGAAAAAAAATACAAATTAAAAATAGTCGTTTCTTACTCCTGCCATGCCCTCTTGTGAACCCTGGGTACCATGTGGGAGCACAGAAACTCAGAGAATGGATTTAAACCTTTTACACTCTGGATAATTCTCTTATTGAAAATCAAACCTTGGGAGGGCATTATTTGACTGTAATTATCATATAAAAAAATTAGTGACCTGAGAATTCAGTAAAATTTAGCCTTCATGGAAATCTCAGCTTTTATGCAAACCAATAAAACACAGATTAGGCTGCCAATCTTGCCAGAATTCAGATGGCAGAGAAAGACAGTATAAGAGGGGGAGGAGAATTAAGCATGTCTGGCATTTGTGCATATGCACTTATGGGTCTAAGATAAAATAGCAATAAATTCCTCTGTTTCTGGGCTGGACTTCAAAGTGAAAAAAAAAAAGATTGATAGAAGTAGAGGATATTTTTGAGAAGTTACTGAATTATTCAGTGGAAGAGAAACAGCTATTTTAAGGAAGATGAACACAATCTACTCAACATCTAAATGCACATGTCTTTCTACATCATATGAGAAGGTGAATATTACGGAATAAAAAAAGAAAAAAAGGAGATACTTGGGAAAAAGCTACTTTTTTTTTTTTTTTTTTTTTTTTTAATAATAGAAAGCCTTCCAAGTATTACCAAATACAGGTTCTGTTCCATGACAGGTTGATACTCAGAAAACATTGGAACCATCTCACATTTTGAAGACTAAATCAGGAATATCAGGACTCCCTCCCAAAGCAGCATCAAAACATTGCCCGAAAAATCTGACACCTATTATTTATGTACAGGAGGGGTCCCAGTGCAAAGTTCGGACCTGCCCTGTTGCTGAAGCTAAGAGTACAGTGCTCAAATCAAACCAATCTGGTAATGCTCAAAGCCAAACTAATTTAGGAGCCACTGTTCTAAAGTTAGAAAAACCCACCCCAGTCCATTTCTGAAGAAACTGTGTGAAATAAAGTCACAGACAAAAGCTTTGATTTATCAAAACGGACTCAAGGCCTTTTCTTCTTAAATCTGAAATTAAGATATCAAATACAAAGACCACAGGAGCTAAATACAGGGGATCAGGCAAGAGTTGTTAAAAAACACTACTGGACCTTGGGAAAACCCTACTGGACAGAAATACTGTAATTAATTAGAATACTATTCCAAGCTCTGTCTGGAGAAAACAGAAATGAGTTTGAAAACTGAGAGGAACCAGGTTACAAAACCAGAATTCTGTAGTTACAGCAAAGAGCCTCAGATTAATACAAATTTGGTCATTATGCAGAAATACATATTTGTAAGAAATATTAGTTGTTGACTAAAATTCGCTTGATGGCATTTCCATAGAAGTTATGAATAAAACTTAAAAACATCTGTTCCAAACATGTGAAGGACAGGACAACTATGACAGTGTGTTTGTACTAAGGAGACAAAAAACGGTGCCAAGAGGAGAATTATTAGTAAAGAGGTGAAATGAGAATTTTCAAAAGGAAGTCATCCAATTCCTTATTGGTCCAGCTAGTACTACTTTATGATGTCAGTCCAGAGATCACCAGTTTCACCTTTCTTTTTAACTTAAAAGAAAATTCATTTCTAAAGCTTCCTCTATCCGAGCTTGATCCATCTTCCATTGTATGTGGAATTTCATTTCTAAATGAAACACTACTTTGTTTATGCACTAGTTTATACTCAGTTCAAAGGAACTTTGTGCTTTTCTTTGGCTTTGGTGCAGAAGTTTTGCTGGAGTCAGCACATGATATCAAATACAAAAGGTCTTTAGTCTACACACTATTTCTCTTCACCATTGCACTTGCCTGCAGTTGTGGACTATTAACCTCATTAGAGAATTTTCAGTGTAAGTGCTTAGTGAAGCCCTTACAGATACGTACCTAATTTATTAAAATATTTTTCCCAGTTTGATAAATACCCTCACCTGTTTCCTGACAACATACTGTCTTCCTCATAATACTCTTCTCCACTAAAATACTCCTGCTCTGCCAAATAATGATCATCATTGCAATAATCTTGAACTTCACGTTCTTCACGGCAAATAGTAGGTCGACGTCCATCACCAGAGTCAGATCTGTAAGTAGAAAACAAATACTTATATATTTTATTTATATAAATTACATATTGTATATTTTATAGACAGTCCTTTTAATGTGCTTCCAAGAAAAAAAAAAAAAGAAAGAAAAAAAAAAGAAGACAAGTATTAACAAATCTTGTAGTCAGAATTGTGTCGAACTGCGATTCAGAACATGTGTATTTTATGTTTCCTGAAGATGACCTCCCTTTATTTCCTTATGGTACAAATAAGAAAGTAATTAATATGGGGATGCTCAATGAAGTCAAATACATTTAAGACATTTTTACAAAATATAAACCCAGAGTACTTTGAAGAAACTCTGCACCTCTCAAATGCCTCAAGTTTGCCAAATGTCTAAAATATTAAGGGGCATTTGCTGAGATATTCCAAGAAAAATCTGAAATGCACATGCAGATCTAGACATTAAACACTAGCACTGAATGCACAGTCAGCAATGCACTACAAATGACACAATACATCCTATTTTTTTTAATTGTCTTAGAAAATATTCTGACATAAAGAAAGTTGAAGAGGGACTTTTTAGAAGGGCATGTAGTGATAGGAAAAGGGGAAATGGCTTTAAACTGAAAAAGGGTAGATTTAGATTAGACATTAGGAAGAAATTCTTTGCTGTGAGGGTGCTGAGGCACTGGCACAAGTTGCCCAGAGAAGCTGTGGCTGGCTCATCCCTGGCAGGGTTCAAGGCCAGGCGGGGAAAAAAAAAAAACACCGGTGTCTAGAGAAGGGCGCCCCTGCCTGTGGCAGGGGGTTGGAACTGGATGAGCTTTAAGGTCCCTTCTGACCCAAACCATTCTATGATTCTGTGATTAGACCAGGAGAGATTTTGGGTCCCCTATAAATGGAAGTGTACACATTAATATCAAAGCTAAAGCCAGTGTTTTTCAAGTCAATTTTCAATAAGGACTACCACTGGCTGTGATTTTTTTGCCTGTTGAAAACTGCGCAAACCTCTCTGGACTTTAAAAGGGCTGGGATAATTTTGATCTTTACCAAAAGTTTATCCTTTTAGAACCAGGAATGGAAAATTTGACTTTGAAATTGTCACTTAGGTTATTTAGCACATGCATCGTCATGGTTGATTTTGAAAACTCTAGGGAAGGAAGAAAACAAAGGAAGAAAAGGAAGGAAGGAAAGGAAGAAAATATACTTTGTCCTTTTGAATTACAGTGCAAATATACCAACTCACCTAATATATGTTTCATAGTAACGGGTTCTATCCAGGTAAACCATGAAAATAAGAAGAAAGATATTTTAAAATCAGGTAGTTTAGAGAAATTCATTGGTGATTACAATGTCTGTGCTGTAACTAACAATTTCACTTTCAAGAAAACTACTACTTTCAAACCTTATTAAAGTTATGTACATTTCCCATACATCAGAGCTATATTTTAAATACATTTCATACATCAGTAGGCAACAGAAATGAAGCTAAATAAACAAATTAGTTTCATATAATGTAAGCTTTCTTATAGTGGTTTTATAATACAATAGTTGATTTAAAAGCAAATGCATATTTATAAATTTACCTCCTATTGCTTGGCCTTCTGCGTTTCTCATGATCACTTCTGGAGTATGAATGGTAACCATTTTCAGATCTATGCTCACGATTTCCAAAACTTGTGTGTTTTCCATGAACAACTTTGGACACATTGGCATTATTGAGATTGGCATTTGTTGAGTTTGGAACTTGCTTTCCTACTGAGTTATGATTGTGATGATTGTGGTATACAGAATTTCCTGCCTGATGATACATGTTTTTCTCAGTATCACTTGCAGATGGAATTGAAGGCCGCTGGACATGTAAGGGACGGTGTGTGGTGTTGATCTGTTGAAATGAATCTCGTCTGTCACTGCTAATATGGTTTATGTGGTTGCCAAAAAGGGCACCATTCCTCTGTTTTAGGGGAAGAGAAAGAAAAAATTATATCAGACACCTGAACAGAACATAATTCTCTCTCCTACATGCATAAAAAAGTAGCAATTCAAATAATCCGTGATTTTTCTTTCTAATTTTATGATGCTTCAGATGGGATCTCCTGAAGTGATAGAGATGTGATTGTGATAATGACAATGTTTTATTTCAGAGTCAAATCAACACTGCTGTGATTATTATTCTTTTTCCATACAACTGTTTCATCCAGCTTTCTCCACATCTAGGAGAAACCGAGATTCCCATACATGAACATGCACCAAATTCCTCAGAAAGGGACATTTCTGCTCAATTTCTGAGAACACTTTGGTGGAATTCTCTCCTATTCTCCCAGAGCATTGGTTTGCAACAGGTGTCACTCAGACAGGATGGAGTGCCATGCAACAGCTTGCAAGCGTATCTCAGGTAGGTAACATTCAGTTTCAGTGCTCCCATTCTTTCTTTTTGCAGAGGTACAAGAAAGAGAGTAACTCTTTATCAGCCCTGAGAGTGTAATGGATGGTGAAAGGGAGAATGCAGTGCTAAGTTATGACTATGGCATGCAGCTCTCTTTCACAGCTGACCCAGATTATGTATCGTCCCTGTCTAGCCGGGTGTGATCTTGGATGACAGCAGTCTGTCTTGAAGCTCAATCTAGGGAAGACAGGAGGTAATGATGGTTGGCAGAGAAATGCATCTACTGGTGGTAGCTGTGGCACTGTCTCCAGTGCCACGTCCTCCTTTTTTTGCAAAGGACAAAAGCAAGCTATGGGGCTTCTGACATAATTACTGCCAAAGCAAGCTTTTACATCTGTTTCTTCTGAAATGCTTGTGAAAAATTAAGTTTTCTTGCTGGCTGACAAATGGCTTGCAGAACGCTCCTGATTATAATACCGACTTTATGTGCTCAGCATTAGACTGAATATCTACAGATTAAAAGAGGAAAATAGATCTTTTTTTTTTTCCCTGATTGATTCTTATTGATATCCCTCACAGGAAATTGGAAATGACATTTATATTTAGTTGACCTCTGTGTGATTCCACGCATTCATTTTAAAATTCGCAGCTCTGTGTCTGTTTGTGGTTGTGGTTTGGCTGCACAGAATTTAATTCTTTTCTTCCTGTCTACCACTGCAGAAGTTAAGAAACTTCCAGATCAAACCTTGCCACTACCAAAATCTGAGCTGGCAAGCTTCACACCTTTTCTTAGGATTTGCTTAAGAAAAAAATAAGAATTAATGAGAAAGAATTAGGGGCAGGTGAATCACCCTGCAGGAACTGCTTCCTAAATTTATGATGAGATGCAAATGTCCTTGTAATAACATTTTTATAGGTATATAGAAAATATATTTATTTATTAAATATTTATATTGTGCTGATTTGAGGGAATTTTTGATTAATATTATTATTATTGGTTTTACTCCATATTCAGGGATAAGCTCATTCTTTAATCTTGTATTATATGACAAAACAATTCACATAGCTGTGTTTTGACATTACTTTATAAACATCTTCCTCCTCCTCTGGATTGTTTTCCTCTGGTTCATCATCTTGCAAGTCACAGGATATAGCTCGGCGAATTTCAGGGCCAATATCATGAAGTGTCCTTAGTCCTGCCTAAATCAATGACAATATCATAATACATTAGGTAGGCAAATTCTTTTCATTCTTTAATTACAGGTGTGCAAATTTATTTTAAAGGACAGTTTACAAGTTTTTGTATCCTGACATCCATAGAGGATGCATCCTACTGTAAGTCTCCTTTACTGCTATTAGTAAGAGGCTTCCATTCCAGCACAACCATGTTGATGTGACCATGTCTTTATTATCACGGTGTAGGTCCTGCCTAAAAGACCACTGATGTTTACAGAGTCCTACGGAAATAAAATTCATCTTATAGTAAAGTATAAGCAATCAGCAAGAACTATAATAAAATGCATTTCAATGAGATGTATATTTAATGTAAAAATATGTTTGCAGCCTGTGTCCACAAAGGAAACACAGAATCTTTGCTATAGCAACAGCAGTTTTAGCGGAGCTCAGATGCGGAAGAAAGCAGTGAAATAATTCCAGCTCATCTGCACTGCACTGTGATATGCAGATATTCAATTTAAAGCTTTAGTTTAGGACAGGAAACCATCATGCTACAGTAACGTGGTCCTCAGCGTGTATCGGTTCATATTCCTCTTAAGCCCACTACGACAAGCAACCATTAGAAAAAGGGATAATACTGAAACCGCCAAGGACAGACCCGCACATTAGAAATTAAACAGACAGCACACCCAGGGCCAAGAATTCAGTGCGTTTGTAGAGGTCTGACTTCAAAAATGGAGATGTTTTTCCTGTTTTAACTCTGGCTGTCATGGTCTGAAACAAAAAGCAGTCCTGTGCTTCCCAACTTGTTTTTTTTTAATCTCCTCAAGTTCAGAAGAAATCAAAGATTTGTTTGTTCAGCCTTTACACTACTAAAACTGAGGCACAGCACTTGGCTCAATTCATCAATGATCTAAAAGCCTGGTTTTTGGGTTTTTTTCCCCCATTTTTTGATGCACGTGTTGGGGCTGTTTCAGCCCATTGAGGCTGTACTTCTATGGCACGACACTGACATTGAGTGTTACTGGCCCTGGGGTGGCATGAAGATGTGTGGAGAATTTTGTGTTTCAGAACTCCAAAAACAGCTGAAGGACATTGGAAGGCACCAAACATGGCTTGTTCCCATCCATGCTATCTATTGCATGCATTCCCTGGAGTACAACACAGCATCATGCTCAGGTTCCAGCTCAGCATGGAAATAGCTGGTTTGCTGGGGAGCAAAATGGTGTTGCAGTGTGAGCAAACAGAACCTGAAAAGAGATGAACTTTCTAACAGTGAAGATTAGCTATAGGCTCCTCTTCAGGTTTCCCTCATACCAGTATTTCAGTTCCTGAAAATGGAATTGACTAATCGTATTAATTACATGTATTTGGCAATTATATTTTCTTCCTTCAGGATGAACTTAGAGAGTTATACTATAATTGAACAAGGCTTTAAAAATCATCTAATAGTGAGTCAATATACAACATACATTTCATGAATACATTGTGCTTTCTCACACTTCTTATGCTAATTGCATAGTCAAGACCTTAGCAAGGTTGTTAATGTCATCATTTTGTAAGGCGCCAAAGGGAAGTAAAATTAACACTTTAAGGTACAGATTTCAAAGTATAAGACCAATGGCTTCTGTATACTTTGCAGAGGATTACTATTACATTTGCTTAGCTAACCACTAGCAAGAAAAGCCCTTTGCATTTCACACTCACTACTTGCTTACTTAGTAGCAAAGAAAATTAAAAAGAACAAAAACCCCCAAAGCTACACTTGAACATAAAAATAAGCTGAGGTTAGTATGAACAGAATACAAGGTAATAAGATCAAACAAAGAAAATAACCATGCAGAAAAATAGCTGAATAGACCTACGCTATAGCAGTGAACATAAGAGACGTAGTAGTCAAGTCTTGATTCCCCAGTGTTATTCATCTTCACAGAGCCCATATTCTAACACTGGAGCTGAGTGCACTGCTCTACAACTACATAAAAGCTCTGTGCTTTTGGTCAAACCCAGACTCCCTTCAAGCTAAGCCTTTCTGGGAAAACAACACTCTCAGATAGCACTATTATAAATTTTAACCCCCACAAAAACTACTAGCTTATATTCTTGTCTGCCAAAGTCCCACAAAGATATGCCTAAAATCTGAGAAAAGACATGCGTTCGGAAGCAAGATATTGAATTGAAATTCAATTTTGATTACATCTCAAACTGCCTTCTGTTTCTCTACTTGGCAAATTACTCCTTTACTCAAGAAAAAGCAGGCAGCTTTTATTGTCTCATCTCTCTTCAGCAATACTCATTTTCATGTAACAGACCTCTTGCAATGATACAGTCAACAGCAGAAGACTAAAACCTAGATCACAATATATAAAAGCATATGTTAGTTAAACCAAACCCATCAGCTTTATTCACTCACAGCCAGTAGTGAAGCCACAGGTTCTACAAGCAACATCTGCCTGAAGAATTAAAATATTCCACAGTTTATTTGCTGTAACAGAACTACCTGCAACTGTTTTGTGAACTCTGTCATTAAACAATTACTCCCATGTACAGTCTCCTTTTACTTGGTGTAACCTAACAGTATTCCAAGTAAGCTAAGAACAATTTTTATGACAGAAGAGCGCCACATAGTGAGACAAATTCTCACACTGAGCTCTTACTGATAAGACAACCTTTCATTAGGTCAGCTACCACTGAAGGAAATTGCAGCTAAAACCTCATTACTTTCCCCAAATGGAACAACGAGTAGGCACTAAAGACCAGTATAAAAACTTTCATAACATTTCCTTTGGTTGGTAAAGATTACTGGAAGGGTCACACTCTCTCTAGTCTCTCTTATATCCTTAATTTTTTGTGGCAGATTCTTACTTCCTAGAGGTTCTCTCATGTCCAGAGAATTCTTGCTTTTCCTGAAACAAAGCTTCAAGACTATTTTATGCCATTTCAGCAATAAAAAACACCTGTAAAACTTTTCCCTAAGTAAGTGGAAATATGATTAATGAATATTGATTTATTTCCTATTTTTTGAGGACCAAAATACAGTTCACATCATTTCAAGACACAAGGGGCCAGTTCTGCCATCAGATTGACATCTAATATCCATCTCAGCTCACCAGACTGAAACCCTGAACCAGGGTTCACAAGGCTGTTAGATCAGTCAGGTGGACTCCATTTCTAGCAAAATGTCTTTAATAATCCCAGTATATTGTAGAACACAAAACTATTCAGTTCTGTTCTCTAACTTTCCAACACAGTATTAGTATTTGCTATACATCAATGTCTTTGCCAAATATACCTCTAAATGTCAAAAATACACGTTTTTCCTCACAGGGGTGTGAGTCCTTATATGCATTTACCTTTTAGAAAATTTTGTTTTCATCAAAGACACTGAAGATGAAAGGGTCTATAACAGAACAGACAAAACATGCAAGAGATGTTTAGGCATCAATTCTATAGGGATAATATTGATCAGAACTGCATCACTGAATTATTCATGCTACTCCACAAGAGGACATCTGTTGTTCCTGCTCAGGTTTTTCTATTTTGTTGTTCCTTTGAAGTAGTGGAAGACAAGAGATTAACCCTACACTGTGTTTGACTGCCTCTAATTCTATCCTAGAGATTTCACTAGAAGTTTACAAAAGAAGTTATTTCTTTACCAGACACTTTATCTCCAAGATCTAATTTTTGATGTCTTCCTTGCTTATTTTTTTTCTTGTAGGCATGAGATAGATGCAACATTATCAGTCCAATGGTTAGTTAGCAAACCAGTGACAGAGCGCTGAACAACATAATTACATAACAAAGGTAAGCATGTCTCTTAAATAGGCTTTCCCTTAAATGCACAAGATGACTGCAAATTAACATAATTCTGTGCAGCTGTGCTTTATGAGACATAATAGCACCTGCAAAGTTTTCAAGATGGCAGGAGGCACTAACATATCAGTGCTGAGTCCTAAATAGCATGTCAAGACACAATTAATGATGCCCCTGTCTCTGACACAGCATTGAGCTGACATGCATGTGCTTTCAAATCCTGAAATAATAGAATGGTAGGAGTCCATCCATGTCCATAAATGTCACACGACTTGTAACTGTATTTCTGAATTGGTCATTTAGAGAGACATGAACTTAATGCTTGAAAAGCATCTCACACTGAAACATCTTAAAGTTAAGCACTAAAACATTAAACAGTTAAACATTTAAAAAAGACTACTTTTAACAAATGCCAAATTTTAAACCAGTTTTCCAAGTCTATAGTATGCATAAAACAGTGAAACCATTTTAGATGTCTTATATTAAGAAATTTGTGTATAATGCAAGACTCCAGAATCACGACATATAGAAAAACATTAAATATTTATAAATACTGGAACTACAAAAAGATGATTTCCCCTACATCTAAACTCAGCCCACATCCATTTTGAGCTATACTGTAACCTACATACATATAGATGCAGTTTAAGCTTAGTTTAAGAAGTGCAAACACAATATCCATATTTGACTAGCAAGAATCACTATCACATACACTATTTCTAGTCATGTAAAATAAACAATGCTCCCTCTTTTGAAGCATTGTTAGGGATACCAGAAAATGGAAGACACACTTGTAAAGCTTTGTTACACAGATTTTAGAAGAATGATGTATATTTATGTCTAATGCTATATAAACTCACTAAGTCTGAAATAAAGCATAAACATGAATTCTAAATATTCAGATTTTCAGAGCTTCAGAATACTATGACTTTAAAAACGTTCATATAAACCATTACATTTGTAGATAATGAAAATGTTTTTACTACCTGCATACTTAATGGCAAAGAAAATTAAAAAGAACAAAAACCCCCAAAGCTACACTTGAACATAAAAATAAGCTGAGGTTAGTATGAACAGAATACAAGGTAATAAGATCAAACAAAGAAAATAACCATGCAGAAAAATAGCTGAATAGACCTACGCTATAGCAGTGAACATAAGAGACGTAGCAGTCAAGTCTTGATTCCCCAGTGTTATTCATCTTCACAGAGCCCATATTCTAACACTGAAGCTGAGAGCACTGCTCTACAGCTACACAAAAGCTCTGTGCTTTTGGTCAAACCCAGACTCCCTTCAAGCTAAGCCTTTCTGGGAACACTATATGAACATGGGAGCACAATTAAATTGAACTTGAGCAACATATTAACCCCTCAGCTGATGCATGCTAGAGAGGGTTAATTCTTTTTTCTTTTACTGTTTACTGCAGGGTTGATACCGCTTATGAAATTTGCAGAGAGGAGAAAAACATAATTAGTTTAATCTGAAACATGTTCCCAAAATCAAGTTCAGGTCAATAAATCAGTGCTTTTGTGTACTTCTAATGTGAAGGGAAATACCCTTTAACTTTTATTTGTATTTATTAACAAAGAGAGTTAAATGTAAATAAATGCGAAATATAGACGCAAGCTTTACATAGTTTACAGTAAGTGTTTTCCTTAGGAAAAATAGCGTTGAATTCATTCATTCAAAGTACTAGATGAAAGTAATTAAACTTGTTCGTGCTTCACTTAACATTTATTTTACTAGCAATGTGACTGCTGTTTGGATCAATATAAATTTCCATCCCTATAAAAAGACACCCTCTAAACTACTTTGTCAAATATAACTTTGTTCTGATTTTATCCAGAAAATATATTTGTTTGCACTGTGTAAGGCACTGTGAGCCCTAAGGAATTTTTTTCTCATATCCTGGAAGCATGTATAATGCCACAAAATGGCAGTGGATAGCTAACACCAATGGGTCAGCTGTCATTTTGGAACCACCTGCTTTTCTTTCCTTTACAAGGAGTGAAAACCCTTGGGTCTGCTAAGACAAACTGCTATAGTTCCAAGGGATACTGTTATTTTATTTCTGAAGATGTTTTCAGTGCCAACATGCAAGTTTGGACAAACTACTGTTGTTTATAATTTGAAGTGTCCTTTTCTGAGGGAGGAAGAATTTGAAAGTTCACGGCAAAGAGACTTTACTTAATAGCCTGAACAGATAATACCCCAATCACTGGAGACACACTTCACTTTCTAGACTGCTTCCTCTTCTCTGACTACATGTACTCAAACAGCAGCCTGTGTTAGACTAAAAGCAAATGCTGCATCCTTGAGGAAAACCTGAACTCTACAGAATAAAAATCACCCTGAATGCAAGTATCCTGGAGTAAGAAGAATTCCTGCCTGCTGCATGCTCTGCCATTCACAAAACAAACCTAGTTTTGCAAGGAGCTCTGTTCTAATTTGCTGACTCAGCCCAAACTTTATTGTTCTTTTCTCAACCACAGAATCAGAAGAAACTGTTTTCTTTATTCCAGTTAGATCAAGGTTCTGGCCCCCAAATGGTGAGGGGGCTGCCAGTGACATTCTCTTGACACAGTATAGAAGTTTTGGTCTCATGCAACCAAATTCAGGCAAAAGAATAAGCTTCACAGATTGATAGGTTCAAACGCCTAAAGTCTTAACGACAAAAAAAAAAAAAAAAAAGTAGCATTCTGTATTTATTCTATTATTAATTCAGAAGTTGCTGGGTTTGCAGCATCGACACTGTCCCCTGAGGAACAAATACAGCCACTCCTCACACTACCATGCCTGGTAGAGGCTGGTCAAATGCTAGACACGACACGGTTGAATGAAATCTCTTGCAGAAGTAAATGTCAGCCACCCACCACTATCAATTTTCCTTTTCTTTCTCTAGTTCAGCGTGTTACACTACCATTATTACACTGCTGGAGAGCCACCTGCATAGTGAAAGAGGCATTTCTAAGAAATATCAAATTAAGAACTAAGTATCACTACCTTGCACAGAGAGAGAAATGAGGCTAAAGAGAAACGGATGGGGAAGAGGAAGTAATTTTTACTACAGGTGTTTTTAAGGCTCTGTTAGTTTTCCTGTTAAAGAATTCTGCAAAGTTCTTCTTAAAATCTGTCTTTCACTTCCCTCTCAACTATTTCCAATCTTTTTATCTCTTGCATTCCCCATAATTTTTTCTTCTTTTGTGATACGCAAATATAGTTTATACTGTTCTGACAAACCATGTGCTCACACATCAGTAAGAATTGTGATGAATCTTTCTCTGACTATTGCATCACTTATAATTATGGTGACTTGGAACAGAATGTATGCCAGAGCAGCTAGCAGAGACCTTCTTAGGAAAGAGGAATGAAACATATTACCCACTTAAAACAGCAAAGGTCATTCTCCTAGATCTAAGTATAAACCAGCAAGACCTTTAACAAAGAGTCGCTGACTCAGGTTAACACATTTCTCCCCTTTTAGGAAAGGATTTTCACAACATATTCCTAAATTTTGGCATCAGAATAAAAAGCTATGAGAAACACTGAATATCTTCATCGTCAGTATGAATCTACTCAGCACTAACTGAAATTCAGAAAGTCCCAATCCAACAAAAATGGTGCAGGGTATGATGTCTGGAATTATTTGAGGACAGCTTTCCTTTGCCTGATTCAAAGTTCATAATACAAAGTGTATCACTAGACAGAAGTTTTCACAATATACTCCTTAGATCACATGAACTTAATGGACTGCTTGCTGCAGGCCCATTGAGACATAGGTGCCCAAATCTATTGTTCTGTTTTCCATCTGATAGCTTGTTTTAAGAGACAGACAGAGGTATGTGACATTAATGTAGAATGATATTATTGCTTCCTATGGAAGAAATTGGTGAATGTGAAGTTCAAAATTTGCAAGTATTTAAAAAATACTGATAGGAAGATATTTCACCAGTGATCATAAGTAGAAAAGAAAAAGAACAATGAAAATGAAGAAGAGAAATGGTACCATATAAAAATCTCTTAGGTAATGCATATTAGGAAGTTTTCCAAGAACTGGCTAATAGTATTGTAGGAACACAAGAAATTAAACAGTTGAAGTAAAACAAAGGGTGGAAATGATAGCTCAGAACTTCATTTATCTGATTTTACATCAGCAACTTTAGATTGTGATGTATCAGCTAGACTTGCTAATAAATTTTATAACCATTGCTACCATGTGAGTAATCCAGAGAGAATAACATTTTGCACTTACCTTGTTTTAGACAGAATAGCAGGATTATGTTTTACTTTTCTGATGAATAAGGGCCAAAAGTGTTCCAGCTAAATAAAATCCTGGCAGCACTGCACAATCATCAATATTCATCTACCTGCTATTTCAAGTAAGCTCACAAAATGGTTAGTTAAAAATGTAAAAACAAAATCACCTGCAGAGCAATCGTGGTATTCTTCGCAGGATATTTCCCCACCAGTCCTTGTTCTTTGCGTTTCTTGAATTTCCTAAAGTAGTCCTGTATCAGGAAGGTGGCATAGAACTTCCCCACGGTTACCTCATCATCTAAATGAACAGACCAGACAGATCTCTCCCAAGTCAGCGCATTTATCAATAGCCTATACACTTATATGTGATTTGGAGGGAAAAATGTGATGGGTGCAAGACGTACTGGGCTTTCAGCTTACAACCATGGAACCTATAACTAGCTTAAAAACGATGTTTTACCAAGCCGTTTAGGCTCAGTCAGTTAAGCAAACTCATCCTTTATAAAGAAGAAAAATAAAATACTTCACCAAGTCTCATGTAGTTCTAAGTAAGTCTGTAAGTTTCTAACAAACCATAAGCATGTTTGTATAGGCATAGAAGCTAAAAGACAGTCTTTAGTTCCCTTGGAATAAATGGATTAAAGTAAAAGTTTCCATGACTCACATACACTATGTTTCATAAGAGAGGCCCTATCTAAAATTAAAAAAAGTTCTGCTCATAACATCTCTTTTTTTCACTGTTGAACCAAATTTGTGCAGTCAGTGTATCAACAGCACTGTTTTGATTGCATAAGGACTTTGGCATCTTTACATCCTGCTTAGCTATGCACATTTTTTTATTCATGTCATGCGCTCACTGTAGTACCTGAGCATCTTCCAGTTTGAATTTTATTTATGTCCCACATGTTCATGTTGGGCTGTATCTTCTGCTATCTTATTGTCACACAAGACATATTCTAGACTCTGAGGCAATCCCACAGAGGTTACAATTTCACATATTTACTATGAGGCTCTTGTTTATGTGAAGATGTGGTCCTTAGTCACCTTCTAGATAGGTGATGATAATAAATATGAAATGACATTGTGATTTCCCACATTATTGTATCAGCTCTGCAATGCTGACAGGAATTACACTAACTTCCAGCAGTTAATTTAGTAAAATTCAAAAGATAGGCAAGCAGCAAGTGCAGTAAAACCTCACATTTTTACAGGGTCACTGTTGTGAACAAAATCCAGATTTCAAAGTTTTCAGAGTTCAAGGCAGGTAACTTACAAGGATGATGAAATCACCTGATGCACAGCGTGTTAAGAATGTGTGTGCCTGAGTCCCATTGAATCATTCAGCTGTGCAAGTTTCATCTATTGATGAGTAATGCTTGCCAGAAAACTAGGAATAGTTTTCCTTTCAAAAACATTGCTTTTGTTTCCACACACCTTTTTCCCCGCAGTTCTCTGACATGAAGTTAGCTATTTTCCTTTCTGCTGCGTTGCCTAGTCTCTGAATTTTTTTCAGAATTTTGAGATAGTTATTTGCAACATGGTTACTAGTTGGCTACACACCTTTGTTAGAAAATACAGATTTCTTTTAGTTTATGCCATTTGTTTTCTCCATATTTTAATTCACTAATGGAGCTTCAGGATAGACTTGAGTTTGGGTTTTCATTTTGTTGTGTGTTAGGATCTTTTTATATATGGAGAAATTCTGTTAAGCAAGCTTCTTCTCTAATTGATTGCCAAGCAAATTCTCTAATCAATTGTCATATACTGTGATATCATATATCACAGTATACATTAACATTTGATTAAAAGTCTCCTGTGTCTTTGTTTTATCAAGAATAATGTCCCAATGTATCTCACTAATGATCGTATTTCTAATAGTATTTTAACCTGTAATATGACAGCTTTTGCTAATTTAATTAACTTCCTTTTGTGACTTGCTTCACGTCTATAAAAAGGATGGGGAAATCCAATCCATGTACAATACTGTTACAACTCATTTTTACCTCTGTGATAAAATTAGTCTCAAAATGAATCCTCTACTGTTCGAAATAAGGCCCTCTGATTATAATGCTTGAAATGGGCTGCAGGCTTTAACTTTAGTGAAAATGCACCTGGGATGTGTTTACCCAGTGTGTTATTTGACTTTCAATCTATCAAAGCAAAAATAATGACAATAATTGCTTTAAAATATGTTGGCTGGGAGACCAGTCTGTTAACAGTAAATAGCCTGCTCTGCCAAACACTGACATCTCTTCAAAGCTCCAAGTCCCCCCAGTTCCTGGTAGGAAATAGCAGGAACTCCACTGCTCACAAGAACAGCTCACCAGTCTACCGATACCAACTCAGCAGCAAAAAGCTTTTTAATTCTATGATTCTATGATTAATTGACTCCACAAATCCAATTTCTATACTTCTGGTGAATATTTGCTTTGATGTTTATCTGTAATCTCCCTTGGCAGCTCCTCATGAGATCAGTAGTACTTCGTATTAGGAAGATATCACTTATAAAGCATCTAACCTAAACTTGCCTTCCTTAATTTAGCTGAATCCACTGATTTGCAACGTAGCCTTGGTCAAACTCCCCAGATAAGCCTTTCCCCATCCTTTCTACTATTTCCTTTCACGTATTTGAAAAGAACTTTTAAGGAAGTGAGATAGCAAATGGCTCCTAGAAAGAACAAGCACATAGAAGTGACAGACTTGATATAACATATACTACTATGGGTGGTTGCACTTAGAGCATGTTTCAAGTCAGGCTATGACATTGCATGACTACTGACTGTACCTGAGATGACAATACCTGTGAAATTTCAGCACGCAGAAATGAAAGGCCCTTATTGACCACTCTGGACCAACTTTTTATAAGCATATTAGATGAATGCATTATCAGTTTGCTGAAATGGGCATGCCAAGCCTGCATGTACAAACAAGGTGCATGTCTCCTTCACAGGCACAGTCAGTTGTACTGCAGACACGTGCACACAAGAACTGAAGCCTGGCCAAGGGGAGCCATCCTTGACTTTGGTTTTTTTTTTGAGTAACACATATAGCCAGATAAGGACAGGTATAGGGAGACAGCTAAGCATAACTGACCACAGAATAGACAAATCTATAATTACAATTAGCAACAGCAAAAGGAATCAATTCAGTAGGAAGTGTTTGGAAGGAGGCAAAAAGTTTTATGCAGGATTAAACGGGCTTGCCATGGAGACTGGGAAGTTTAGAGAATACAGGTGAATCTTTAGTGAGGTGGATGTATTTCTTTTCCTCTGTAGTCTCCTAAGAATGTTAACTCATTCATACATTTAGGCATGTTACTGACATATTATGCTTTTGCAAAGCAGTTTCATTTTTTTCTGTACTGAAAATGTGCTGCTAACTATAAACAGTTTAATTAAATTCTAGTAATGAGTTTTTTAACCAGTACCAACACCTAACTGCCCATTTCTAGTGCATCTATTTATAATTCAGGAAAAGAATGCTATGCTGATTGTTTTTATTCTGCTCTGCAAATAATTGTTCTGATCATGTTCTGGAGGCATGGTCAAGAGCAGATGAAGGATCTAGTATTCAGTAATACCAGCAAAAGTAATACTGGAGTAAAACATTATAAACTAGACCACTCAATACTTTTCAGTGCAAGCAATTTTAACATACTGAATTTGGATGCTTTGTTCATTTATATTGAAGAGAATTTTATTTCTTAGATCAGTCGTCACTGGTGTTATTTTATGTCGAATTTTCTACTGAATATTAAACATCAATAGCAATTTCTGCTGTACATTAAACTATTTTACACTCCTATGGCATAGGAATGTAAAATAGCTGCTTTCCTTTTTTCTAGATAAGTTACAATATTTTCAATTTTCAGGTAAGTCATAACAAGGTTTCCAGAGAAACAAACCAAACTGAAATCAAGAATTCATGCATCTTCAGGACTTCCCAACATATTCTTATTTATACTGGGTTGTGGAAGCCATACTGTTTTCTATTCATTAAGCAGTGATCCAGGTTTTCAGCCTTCTAGCTACACTGAAGAGCTACATTTGCAGAATAAATATTAGCAATGAATTTTAGTATAGCTGAAAATAAATATACAGCTTATATTCAGCAATGAAATGAAGCTGAAATCAGTGAGTTACTACGTAAGATTAGTTCTGAGAATGTGATCTTTATAGATTCTTTTTCAGATTGCTTTAGGCAGGCACAGCTCGCTATTCTGAAGCATGCATCTCTATTTCAATAAAAAAATGTAGGGGAATAAAGTTGGCAAGAGGCAACACTAATTCCATGCCACCACCCTAAAACAGAATTGCTTCAGAATATTCGGAAAGACTCATAGTTGAAAGGAACAGAGGCTGCAGAAAAAGCTCAAGCACATAGTTACAACAATAACAAAGCAGTTCATCTATGCCATGCAAGCACTTAGGTGTAAGGCTAAAAACAACAGAGTAGAACACAAAGAGTTGTTTTAAATGTGCAGTATCAGTTCCCCTTTGGATAGTCAAATTTGCTAGACTTTTGCTTTGTCCCCACCATGATCTGGCAGCCATCACACCAATAGCAAGTCGCTGTTGGCCACTCTTGGCTAGTGGCTCCAGCAACAAAGCTAATGCTGCTCCTCGGGTCATGCTGAACAGCAGGACAGCCAGCATGCTCCTCCTCCCCTAGAGACTGAGAGCATCACCTTCAGAAAGGTACCAGCCTCTACCATCATTGGACCTGGGATCTTGAGTCTGCTTCCAAACCTGAGTCTGATCAGTCTTAAAAGCTGCCATAACACTATAAAAGTACAATAAACTACAAGAGATTACAATGGACCTGTGTAGTGGATGTCTAGGTAAGTCTATCTTGGGTGTGGGCAACAGTGCAACAGATTCTGCACCTTTAAAACTTGAAAAAGCAAGTAAAACCAATCACCTAAGCCTATACTACAGCATGTTAATAAAAATGTATCTATTGAAAAAGGCTAAATATATATATATAAGAATATATATATTTAAAAAGAGAGATATAACAAATATTTGACATGTCATTTTATAGCTAGTAGAAACAGCCAATATACGTGCCTCATAGTTCTTGCAAATGGATTGGTGTCATTAGAATTTAGATATCTCTTTACACAGGCCATATTCTCAGTCATACTGGCATAAATCTGAACCATTCTCATTATCTGTTGATTATGGAACTGTTCTGGTTTAAACTAATGTAACTGAGATAATTTGTTAATTTAGAAAAAAACCCCGTTTTTTAGAAGGCAATTTATTTTTTTGTTTTCTCCAAGATTTATTCAATATATAGAAGGATATAAGCTATAATGTAGTGCACATTGTCAAGCTTAAATAGTACAAAAAAATGTTATTTTTGCTCAATGCATTAAAATCAAACTAAGTTTAGTTTATTTTGCTGAATGATTTGAAATCAAGACTAGATTTAGATCTAATAAGGCATTTTTCTTCAAGCAAGAAAAGAAGCATAACATTTTCCTCTCTTTCTTTTTGATCTAAGGAAGTTGTATTTATCTGTCTTATATGTGTTATCTGCTTTATTATTATTGTTGTTGTCCTTTAATGACATTATAATTGCAAAGTTCAGTAATTTTATTTCTTGGGTTCCTAACAATCTAGAAAGACCAACAGAGAATAACATATTGCAATATTTATCAGACTGACCGCCAGCTGGAGGGACCACTTGGTCAAGTAATTTCATGCTTGTTTTCTTCCATATTTTCTTTATAACTGCTCTAAGTTCTTCATTTGCTTGCTCTAGGTTACCTGTGGTAATGAAATAGAAAAATGGAGGATGGCAATTCTATGAATCACATTCTGCAATGCTGCAATGAATGATCCTTTGGGTATTAATTAGCTGTATACAAAAAAAGACTGTAATAGACATCCTTTGCAGCAAGCCTAAGCTACATGAAGTACCAAATAACAATACTACAATAACCAAAGATAAGAAAGGGTGTAAGACAGTGAGCTCCTGGGGATTTCAAATCCATCTCTGGAGTACTGCAGAGGTCAGCTGTAATTTACAGATCTTGCCTCCACTCTGTCACTGCTTAATGCCTCGTGCTTAAATTGTGTAGAAAGTGGTGACTTGCTCTTTACAAGCCGCTTCTTTCCTGATCCAAAGCTGAGCCTTTATTTGTTTAATCAGAGTAATTACTCAGTTGTACAGGCTTGAATATTCAGGCAACTGACTACTGAGCAGTTTTTAATCTCTTGCAGTGCTCACCTAAACCACAGTGATGGCTGAGGGGGCTTAATGTAATCAGCTTGTTATTAGCAGTGGAGCTCAGATTCTGCTGAGAATAGCAGAAGACACAGAACAGAAAGTAATAAAATATGGTAAAATAAGAATGAATGAAAATAGAAACTTCTTTGAAATATACCACTGGTTTTTAAAACTTTTCTCCCCTTGATGCTAATGACAGAAATCCACTCAACCCAGTCAGACGTGGCCTTGATCAAATGGGAAGTTGCTTTCAAGTGTGCAAAAATGGAAGTTACACTAATGTGGGATCCAAGGTACCAAGTTAAGAGCAGTAAGGAAGGAGCATCTTGGTTGGACAGAAAGGGGAACTCATTCATTCATTCCCTGCAGTAGAACTCCTCTTATGCCACTGCTATACACTTTTATCTCACCAGATAAAAACATAAAATAATTTCTGAGATTACTTGGGCTCTGGCCTCATTATCCCCTTTCTTTCATTTTCTAGCAAATAATTCCTAGCAACATGAATACAATCCATGACCCAAAAGCAAACCACATCCAGTGACACTAAGATAGCCCTACTTATGCCAATGAAATAAATACAGTAAGTTGTAACTTTTCCTCATTGAACCATCTGACAAGCGCAGGAAAGTAATTGCAGCTAAGAACCTTACCTTCTGTTTTTATCTTTAGAGCAGTCCTAACCAAAGCAAATAAAGTAGCATTGAACATGACGGTTCCATCACTGTTTAGTGGCATATTCATAGCTACTAACCTCTGTAAATAAGAAAAGGAAAACAAATTTTGATGCGGTTTTATTTGAAAAAACTTCCTATAATGTTCATTTCTGAAAAGCTGATCTGTTCAAAGAACAATATTTGAGCAGCATAAAAATGGTATGTCTTCCAAAATCTCAGCCTTCCATCCTAGCTGTGTGTAATAACCACCCATATTGCTCCTTTCTGATATCAATCACATGCTTGCTCATATAAAAGCTAAAACTGACCAGTAGTTTTCATGAACTATTAGTTAATTTGCAAACACTGAAGCCCAGGCCTTGACTATGACTGTAAGTCACACTATGCAAGTATTAAGGAGTTATTTAAAAGCATGCACTCCAGCCACAGTCATGTTCCAGGTTTCCCATGGGCTCCACCAGCCTCATGCTCCCTGAAGAACAACAGCATCAGGTCTGTATAAGGTGGGTAATTTCTCAAGTAATTCTTCAGTGATGCTGTGCATCTCTTACACTACCTACACCGAATTAGTGTGAAAGGGACCCTCCTCTTTGGATTAGTCTATCTGAGCATCAGTGATCACCTTTTAGAGCAATATTGCTGAGACACTGTGTCAGAAGGACACTACTCAATCTATCAAAATCTTTTTCTAATGTCTGACTTGTTGTTTTTTTTTCTATTCTAGTTTAAAAGCATTACTCAATTGGATAATTTATCTTAACACATAGACAGATATAGGTTTGCTTTAAGTATGCCTTGTGGCATTCCATTTGATCCCAACATTTTGTACATCAACTTACCTATTTATAAAATAGATATAAAAGAAATCTGAATTATGGTGCTGTTGTAAAAATCCTTTATTAAAAGGCTTGATCTTATTCCTACTGAAATTGCTAAAACCACAATGTCCATACTTTTGAAGTCCTCAAACAACACTATAATTACTCATCTCCTTTGTATTGCTTTTCAACTTTTATATTAAGATGCAAGTTAACCCTCATCTAATTCACACATTGTGGCTGACAAATTCTATGCAATTTTAAATTCCCTCTAATTTTCAGTCTTCTCACTTGCTGCTACATTTTGTACTGCACAGGCTTAGTTTATCAACTTGCAGTCCCCATCCTTCGATCTTATTTCTATTTCATGTGCAGCAAATGTCTCATGAATGCAACTGTAAAAGTACTGTATCAAAACTTATTTGTTAATTAAAGGAAACAACCACCCTCTTCTCCCTGGGGCTGAAGAGAAATCAGATGTCTCTGGGTTGAAGTAGTCTTGATGTGACACTGGGTCACCAGAAATGCTGGGATGAGGTAATTCATATTTGTGACAATAATAGACTAATGACAGATTTACAAACCAACCCCTTTCATTTTGATGCTTTGTGAAGAATTTTACACTGGTTGTAATGACTCAAATGAGAGCACTGAAAGAAATTACATTAATTTTGCTGGTTTAAGTTAAGCCTACAAAAAACTCGGAAAACTTGAGAGTGAAGGAAACCTTGTGAGCAGAGGGGATTACCGTGCATGACACATATGGGGCAGAACTGAGTGAATGAATGAATTGTAAGAGAAATCTACAAAGAAAATAGGGTAAAACCTACCTTGCAGGCCACTCGGTGAGGGCATAATTTGCCAAAACCAAGTGGTGGCTGAATGCGTCTCAGTAATGTAACCACATCAAGATGCTTTATCCTTCCCCTAGAACCAACACGCACCAGTTACCAAACATACATCCATTCCCTCAAAATATATTATGTTCTGCTTTTATTGTTCTTACCAGGTGAATCTTATCAGAGAAATGATCTAACTTACTTTGCTTCAGGGTCATATTCTGACCATATCCTTTTGAACTCATCCAAATGATGGGGACCCAGAATAGACCAGTCACGTGTCAAATAATCAAAATTATCCATAATGACAGCCACAAATAAGTTTATAATCTAAAAAAGTAATTAAGAACAATCTGCCTTAATTATTTGGAAATTTTTAAAATATTCAATAAATAAAATAATTTCATATGGTAGCAGGTTAAGAATTCAAACAAATAAATTAATCTCATAAATTATGTTTGGTTTTTTTTTATTTAGCAAATATCATCAAATACCTCAGAAAATACTTGCTAAGCATTTAACTGACTAACTGGAAATCTATCAAGAAATGAAATTACAAGAATGTGAGTCTATCTTAGAGTACCTAGTCTTTGACATAGGTTGTAACATGGTTTTGTTTCTCTTCCTTGAATTGCCAGATCCCGCTACACTAAAGAATGGATCCAACACATGTATTCAACACAGCATAGATCTCAGGAAACAGCTTTTAATTAATTAATAGGATTCAGTGTCACAAAAACAAGACTTCTGCATATGTTTTCTTAACACAGAAGATGTTACAGAACAGCACAATGTGTGTGTTTATATCAGTTCACAGAATTCTCTTTGACCCCTCTCCTTTTTCAAGGAGAATGGTGAACAGAACAAATTAACCAGCTTTGACCAGACACCTGCAAAGAGGAAAAACACATTTCAAAGATTTAGAGAACATAATCCACTATGCCATGGATTAGGGAGAAAAGTTACTGCTCATGTTTCATGTGCCACAGTTTGAGCACACTTGTAGAGACATGAATCCAAATTCTGCTAAATTACTAGTAACTCAAAGGAACTGCAGCTTTATTATTAATGAATATTTAATAGTACTATTGAGAAATGCCTGAAATAATAGCTGACTGTTAACTTAGCTTTCAGATGTGCAACCAATCACTCCTGCATAATGTAGTCAGAAGAACATCTTGCACATGGGAATTTAGAATCATGGAATGGGTAGGGTCGGAAGGGACCTTCAAAGGTCTTCTAGTCCAGCCCCCCTGCAGAGAGTAGGGACACCTTCAACCACATCTAGTTGCTCAGAGACCCATCCAGCCTGACGTTGGATTCTTCCTGAGATGGGGAATCTACAGCCTCTTCAGGCAACCTGTTCCAGTGTTTTACCACCTTTACCATAAAAATCAGTATAAGATACATGATTTAGAAATGTGTTTGGAAAAATAGAACCTTGCAAATATACTTTAAATATGTGATTTTCAGTCATTCCCTGGACCTGCTAGTCTTTTAGCTCAAAAGAAAGTCAAAATACCAAAGCACATTTTTGTTAGTAAGTTGACTCACCAAAAACGCACAAAGCATGTAAAAACTGATAAAATAAATTATGGCAAAATTGCTTCCACATGTGTATTCTTCCCCTGGATTATAATCAGATTCTGGATCACAGCGTTTTCCAGGCAAACATGCCAACATGATTTCCTGCCAGGCTTCTCCAGTTGCACACCTTGACAAGGTCACAAAGATAAATTAAGATTAAAATGGATTAAAGATGTACTAATTAGTTAAATTCTGGCAAAATGCTTGGAGCTGTACAAGCACAAATCTGAAGGCAAATTGTGAACCTTTCAGAACAGGAAGTAATTTTAAAAATACAGAGCATGTGTCAGACAAGAACAGATCTGACACTGCAGACATACAAAGTAGATTAATGCATGATAAAGGCTTGTATGTAAAAATTAGAACACCAAACTGCAATTTACAGGTTAAATACTTATTGCAGTGGAGCTACTGTGTACGAAAGAAGTGTTGTGTATGAAAACCTATCATAAAAGTTGGAACTATGTATTTGTAAAATATAAATTGTCTTTTCCTCAGCATGGCTGAAGAAATGCTTGTCTCTAACTTCTGCTATTGCATTTTTTGCATAGTTGGGTAATGCCTGCATACAGACCCATGATTTCAAATACTGGCAAGATGGCTACATATTTATGACATTTTTGGCTGTGTTCATCACCTAGTTTCAAAGGTGAGAGTCTTTACATGCCTCAAGCGACTCATATCTCACTGGGTGATGCCCTTTGTCTCAGATCAGGAAACCAGGTTAGTACAATGCATAGAAGCCAAGCAGTTACAGAATCACAGGCAAGAGCACTTTCAAGGCTGTCACCTTTAGAGGCATCCTTGTTCCATGTCATTCCGTCTCCTTGCTCCAGGACATTTTGAAGCACTCCTGGCAAATGTTTACCCTCTCTCAAGCCCTCTAGTGACCGAGATTGCATAATCCCCCTACATAAAGATTTACCTACCTTTGCCATCAGAAAATTCTGCCTACTGTTTTTCTGATATTTCCCTTCTGCAAGTTACACCCTCCACTTCTTGTCTTCAGCAAATGTAAAGAATAGTTTATTTCTTTATCTTTGCAATAACCTTTTGCTTTTCAAACTATCATGCTAGCTGTGCTTCTAAAGAGTACACAGTAATGGCACAGTCTTTCTCATTTTTCCCAACACCTACACGGTGATATGAGGGTTGACTATGTTTAGGCTCTTCCTAAAGACAATTACACCACAAATGAGATGTTTCACAATAGCTGTAATGAGTTGAGGTCTGTATCACCCAATCAGAACCCCGCTGCGCCAATGACAACAGCATGCAGCTGTGGAGAGTATGTGCTTGTTATGCTAATCTGCTGCTCACTTGCAAAAACACTTTGAACAAACAGATGGTACAAAAGATAAAGGCATTTTTCACAGATCAATGAAATGGGATGCATTAAGTAAGAGCTAAGGTTTACTCACCTGAAAAGAAGCAGCACAGCTTGTGGGAAAGTCTGAAAATTGTTGTTTCTGTTTATTTGATTGTTGTCCCTCATGGCCACTTTTCCAAATACCTACAATAAAACAGGATTTGGACTTTCATCCTAGTGACCTATACTGTCAGAAGCTGTAGGCCTTGTAGTCTAAACTTGCTTCAGTATGTATTAAAAACACTTCCAGGAATAAACTCTCTTTACTCTCTTTAGATTTTTCCTGATAATTATGTAAATGCAGTAAATTTATTACATATACAAGATAATTCTTCATAATTTCTTTTGGTATCAATAAACAATTATAATACTAACACATATTCCCTTATTTCAGGTGAGAAAATATAATTTATTTTAAACTAGCACCTAAAGTCCTTTATTGATATTAAAGCCCTACTGCAATAAATATTGTAGTATACTACAATATATACAATATGTACAATATATACTTCAATTACATACTAGTAGTAAGAAATAATTGCTGTCCTGAAAATCTTGAATCTAAATAGAGAAAAAGAGATGCAAAGATGGGGTGAGGTGCCCCTGCCCATGGCAGGGGGTTTGGAACTAGACGATCTTAAAGTCCTTTCCAACCCTAACTATTCTATGATTCTATGAAACCAAAGCACAGAGAGTCTGAGCATCCTGTCTCAGCCAGAGACGGAAATAAGTTCAATTCTCTTGAGCAAACCGAGGTCCTATAAGGTCACACCAAGCTCTTCTCCTGCATCTTTTTGCATTTTCTGGCTACCAAAATCATAGCCAGACAGAGATTTTAAAGTTACTGTGAAAGCTCTGCCTTATGTATAGCACCACTATCAAAGGAAAGTTTCAATAAGCACCTTAGCCAACATGTCTCAGAGTAGCTAATGCTGTACTTTTATTTAATGCTAAAAAACTTTTACCATTACCTGCATTCCAATGACAGCATAGATGAAAAACAGCATGGCTATCAGAAGGGCAACGTAAGGCAGAGCCTAGAAACAGGACAGGTGCATTGTCTTTTAATAATTTCACACCATAGTTTCAATTTCCATTTACAAAAATAATTTCTCTGCACAATACAGGCTTTTCCAAGGTTTTTCTTCCTATGCAAGTGATTAAAATGTTACAACCTGACACTCTTAATATTCTGCTGCATACAATAAGCACAAGCTTCATTATATTTTAAATTATTTCTGCCAGCAATCCGGGGGGAAGAATCATCTTTAGCAGCTTTTAATTTTATTTTCATTACTGGTTTTGACAACACAAAGATACTTCCTTCTATACAGTTACAGAGTTCCATTAACTTCACATTCCTCAGCGTTTTCAGAAGCAAGGATTCAAATGTCTATTTGTAATACTTCTGGAATCAGTTTTATATTGAAAAATAGATTAAATTCTCCTTTGTAGTTATCTAATGAAATGAGTGGAAGTGTGAGACCTGTATGTGTCAAACCCATCCTGCCCCTTTTAGATATGACAAATATTTTTTTAAGAAGTACTGCAGAAATCTCATGGTAGCAGATAACATGAAATGACAAAGACAGACCCTTAGACTCACTGAACTAACTGGTGAAGTTTATCTAGACATTATTATGCAAACATATTTAAGCATCTCATTACTGATAGCAGAATTTAAAAAATGTTTTTTGCACTCTATAGGTTATTGCTTCATAACATTTGGTGTATTAATAGATGTAATTATAAAGCAAATTTAAATAAATTTTGCTAACCTGAAATGATTTAATAAATGTCCACAGTAAAGTTCTGATTCCTTCTCCTCTGCTAAGCAGCTTCACCAACCTCATCACGCGGAAGAGACGGAAAAAAGTGATGGAGATTCTAGCGCTGTCTTCAGAGTTCTGAAGAGCATCATGGAGAAGTCAAACCAGATACAAACTCAAACATGCAAGACTTCCAGAATAACAACATCAAATGCAAGGGTGGAAGAGGTAAGATTTGAAAATGTATCTTGAGGGCCTTTTCACCTTAATAAGCATGATATGAAAGGAAAAATTACATGCTAAAAACACAAGACCTGTAGAAATGCTTCACACATCACATGCATTTCCAAGTTTTCTGGTTTGTTAATGAGGATCATATTGGGTTTGTTTGTAGTAGACTTCAATAATACATTGACAATGAATGCAAACCACTGCATAACACCTTTGTAGTAAGACAGTTATGAAAAATACAGAAAAAAATCGGTGGAAAATAGACATGGTAAAAAGAATAAACTCAAGTAGAGGTAAAACCACTGGGGCCAGTTTACTATCTTACCCCAGACTCATCAGTTGTGACTGTTTCAGTTGGCTTTGGCTTTAAGAAATTAAGAACATTAAATATTAAAATCAAATAAAAGATTAAAAAAATCAGCTTAACCATAAACAGAAGGAGGACATTTTGCATTTCTAATTATAAATGAACATATTTCAATTCAATATACTGCCTGAACAAAACATTAATATTCTTATTAAAGCCCTCCCTTCAGCATTTCCTGTTGGCTGACTCATACTAAAACATTGTTGGCTGACTCATACTAAAATCTGCTAGTATAAAATATGTTTAAAAGACTCAGTGGAAAGTAAATACAAAATAAAATATATTCACCTATGTAAGCCAAACAAAATTAGCCATTGACTTCTACAGGTTGTATGAAATTCTAGCAGTAAGCCTAAGTAAACTCAAGAACAAAGCTGTGGGTTTAAACTAGCCTTCTGAGGTCCCTTTTCTCCTGTGCTCTTTTTGATGATTAATGACTTTGTCACTGAAATCTATGTTCAAGTAATTTTGTTTATATCACATCAGGAGCTCCCTTAAAGCAAAGTAATTCATCTGAGTTAATTCAGTGATGAACATTGGGTTTTGCAGTGCTTAACAAGGATGGATTTTTCACTCTGCCAAAGTGATAGACATTTTAGCAGAAGGACACGAAGACTGGCCATCCCACAGAGGTGCACATGGGAGGACAATACCTGGACTCTCTCACCATCTGTAAAGTACTCACACACCTGAGCTGACGTAACAGGATCAGGCATGGAGAAAGTGCTTCAGGATTTGATTGACCCTTTTGAACAGATGTGTACAACCCTCAGTAGCTATACAGAGGAAAAGGGCACACACCAGCCCCTTGTTCACAGGGCCAAACTCTCTGTGAAGAAACTCACTTCTCTCTTTACAAAGTCTGTCTGTCTCTGGAGAAACCGTCTCCATATCCGACATGGTCAAACACTTAGCAAACCAGCCAGCAAAGCTTAAAGGACCAACTGTCTATGCTTGTTTGTGTAGCTTCTTCCAAAACCGAGCAGAAGCATCTTTATTTATACCACTAGAACAAATGAGATTCTGGACATTAGATTCAAGTGATGGGTCTTACCCTCTTGCCTAAAATACCCTCATTTTAAAAAGGCACCTTTCAACAACTGCACATGTAGTGGCAATAACTATTATGCCTCCCCAGTGCTGCTTCCTACACACTGTGGATGCATCAGACACACTGCTTCAGCGAGTAAAATCTCAAGCATTGTTGTTACCTAAGATGAAACTCTGGGAGGAGGAAGGGAAAAGAGAGGAGCCAATTCTGCTGAAAATGCTGGCAGTATATTATACTACGGTCAAAAAAAATCACAAGTGTAGGTAGTAGTCTGTTGAAGTCAAATCTTTACCTGAATTTATTAAAATACTAATTGTTTTGTCTATTACATTTTTTTAAACATATGTAATATAAAGGTGTCAAATGGGTAAAATAAGATAAAAATAACTGCTCAGGTACATGCAATCTACATATGCACACACTGCTACCCTGCCAGGATATCAGTATTCCCTGAAATACAGAGGTTTAAACCTGAAGGATTGTTACTAAATTGATGCATTAAAGTTAATCAAACCCCAGGTCTCCTCATTAGATGTCAGTAAGCAGAGTATTTGTAAAATCAGCTGTAACATCTAACCTTTGTAAGCACTCACACAAAACACATAAGAAATATGCTGCCAATGAAAGACTGCTTCTGCATTAGAAACTCCCTGTGTTTTTCAACAATTTGAAATAAAGCCACCAAAATATAGATTCAGGAGAAATTCATAATCATAAACATCATTAATGCCAAAACATCACAAATCATGAAAATAAGCTTGCAAAGCTGTCTACCTGCATCACTTACAAACCTGTACTGGTGTGCACAAACCCACACTGTTATGGACTTTTTAGTACAGGAAAAAAATTATTTTTTTCACCAAAACTTTTAATGAAAAAGGGTTTCGTGATACCTTCTGCAGACGAAGTCTGATATTTCAGATTAATCTCTGGTGACTGACATGCTGAGCTTGATACTGTCTTAATCAGTGAGCAAATTACTTAATTAGCATTCAATATTTTGTATCATCAAAAACTAAAATGAAGCATTTGACAGATACAGAACAGATTAAATTACAGTATCATCACTAACTGACACTCCCGCTAGCTTTTACAGGAAAAGGACTGGGCCCCAAATAAGCTAGGAAAGAATGGAAAAAGGATACTTTAGGCCTACAGATTTTTATTTAACTGCTTTCCAAAAGAAAGAAATAATGAGTCTGCATTATGACTTGGTTATGAAAATCCCTCACAAAAGATTTTTTTTCTACATGTACCTATCATAGTAACTGCTTAATTCTCACTTTTGAAAATGGAGCCAGAGATCAGATTACCAAAACTACGTGAACAGCTCTGCTGTAGATGCTCGGGAATGATGAGGGCACAATCCCTCAAGTTTGGGGTTTTTTTTGTCTCAATGGCACTGGATGCATTTGAGTAGGCACATTTGCATATGCAGGGGACTCTCTAACACACTTCTCTCTTCAATCGCTCTTTCTCAGCTGCTTTGCACCAAGCAGTCCTGTTTGCCTGTTTCTGATGGTTGATCTGCTGCTGCTGGGGGGTGTTAAGATGTCATATGGGAGGGATTAGAAATTACAGACACTGGAAAGAGAGGCCAGGAATGAAAAAACCCTATTCACATAAGTCAATTGTACAAAAATACCAAGGTGCAGATAGATGCTAGAGACAATGAAACGAACGATAGCAGAGGATTTTTTTCTACTGGACCTGAAAATATTCAGATTTTGCCCATCATTGGCCAAGTATTTTGGGTACTGGCATTTGAAAGTCAATATGTTTAACTTTTTGCCCTCTCTGGCATTTCTCTCTGACAATACAGCAGGTTGGTCTATATTATTAATACTAATTATAATGAAGCTAGTATAGTGGTATACCACAAAGAAAACATTACTCAGACTTTTTTTACAAAGGAAATGCTCATCTAAGGGACAAAGTTAATGTTTATGTGTGTCCCTCCAACATGAAGATCTGGGAAACTAAGACTAACACAATCTTCAGTAACAATAACAGACAAACAGCAACAGAGAAATGTCTGCTTCCTACAGATAAGGAAAAAAACTAACTACCCAAATACATCATCTTATTTGCAACTTCAGTAATATTACTTGAGCTATACCCATATAAGTAGGTGGCACATTATGTATATGTAGGAACTGAGGGAGCGGGCAGGTTGAGCAGAGAGTATCTCTTTGGATGGTGGTTGGTGACAATGCAAACAAAAATATTTCCTGCAGTCAGGCAATCTGCTAAACCTCCTCTTTCCCCTCACCTTCCACCAGTCATTCCAACACTCCCTGTGTCCCAGATGCTTTTGGTCCTTATCATGATTTTTTTTGTTCCCCCCCGCCACCCCGTGGGACTATGTGATTCTCAAGATGACAGATGTGCTTCTGGGATCCCTGCTAGAAGTCTGGTAATAGGCACAGCTAGAACAAGTGAACAGCATCTGCTGTCACTGCTTGGCTAATGGATGCACTGCAATGAGGTAAACGAGGACAGAGACTGGCTTAATTATTCTATCTTTTCTGCCAGCTACGTGCAGCTATGCTGAGAGCCTAGTTCAGCAAAGCACTTTAGAACTGTGTAATTTTAACCCAATTCTTAGATACCCCAAATAGGTGGTAACATATGATTTTTCTTTTTTTCTTAATCAAAGCTCAACACAGCAACTTTCTTCCCCAAACAATCCCAACCCTCAGAAAAGATTAACCGGTGATCAACCTAAATTTCTGACTCACTGATTGAGATGCTTGCAACCTGCTACCAATTTTGGTCAAGTGTTTATTGCTGCTTATGAAAACTTTAGCACATTTCCTGAACAGTAACTCCTCATCATGCTCTGCATATTGCAACAGAAATTCAAAATAAACATCCTAACCGAAAAAGCTTCAATGTCAAAACTGTGAACCGTGTGGAACAGATTGCATCATGCATTGGAAGCAAACTGTAGCTCTGTGTTTAAGAAAAAATAAACATGGTGAAAACCAGTGGGTATTAGTATTCAGTGTTGGTCAAATGCTTTTTTTTTTTTTTTTTTTTACAGATAGTGCCAAAGGGTATGAGTGTATGCCAAAACAAATGGACACATAGTGATGATTATAAATATAGAAGTAAACATCTGAATAACAAATAAATATGATGACAATAACATATATAAGAAAGCATTCAGGTTGCCAAAATATCTTCAGAAATGTGCAGCATATGTGTGTCTGTATGCATGTATGTGATTTGTCCAGAGAATAATTACTGGAATTCGAATCTGCTAGCAAGTGATTTTCTTCACAGTCTTATCATGCTCTCTCTAGTCCCCTGTTCAGCATGAACCAAACGTCCATATACATAATTTAGTAAAAATTTTGAGTCAATGTGAAGAACGCCAGAGTAGATAAAGTATCTTTTCCCCTGTAAAAGATGTATTTAAAACTCTAAGTCCATAATTAACATGTTGATAGTATAGGGGGTTATTATAACTAACAATAACAATAAATATATGAAATAAAGTAAAAAACCAGTATTATCACCTTCATTAAATCAGCTCAGAAATGCACTTCTACTTCCAAATTAGATATTGCAACAGTAGCTTTGACATTGCAATAAGTCTTCATACTAAGAAAGCAAAGCCATGTGAGAATGTATTTTTCTGATGTACCATTAAGCCTAGAGATATATCTGAAAAGTCTACAAAATATATTAACAGTATTCAAAAATATCAAGTTCTAACATAGGATACTGCTGAATAAAGGGGGATTCAAACCGAATTGCAATGCTTTGGTTCAAAATTGTAATCCAGAATCTTACAGGAGGTAGATAAGAGGCTTTTAAACCACTCCCCTGCACAAGCAAGGTCAACTGTCCCACGAGTTCCTGGGTGAGTGGGCAACTACGTGAAAATATGCACCAGCCCTCCCAGTACAGACTCCACCAGCAGCCTAGCAATGAAAAA